AGAGGGGCCGACAAGCACGATCCCACCGTATCATTTTCTTTTTCCTCGCCTCTCTTTTTTTCTCTTTCTCTCTCTCTTTAATTTTCTGGGAAATTTAAAAAGTTTTCCGAGAAAAAAAAACCACGGCCTCCGAGGCCAAGGCCCAAGTCGAAATGCCGGGAAAATCCGACCTCCCTTTTTCCCTCTCGTGGTGGGAACACCTTCTGTACGGACGGCCCCCCCGCCTGCTGCTGTTTGTTTGAGTTTGCTGTTTGCTGTTTGCTGTTTGCTGTTTGCTGTCCTCTCCTTCTTCTGCATTGATTCCACAAACAAAAGGAAAGAAAGAAAATGGCCGGACGGGGAATTTTGATTATCATTGAGGGTCAACGTTTAAGTGAACAGACGAGATCCGTACGATTGTGTCTCGGGGTCCGACCATGCGCGCGCATGCGATTTAAGGATTTTAGAATGCTACTGTCCGATGATAAATTCATCGAATGAATAACCTGTCGAGATGCCCCCGCCACGAAGCGCGATGTTCCGGACACGTCCCGTTTCGTTCTTGATCACGCTTGTCCATCGAAACGGATGGTAATGGATCTCAGTTTTGCCAAATCTTGGATTCTCAGCATGTTTGTCGTCTCGGCTTAATGGGGGAAGCGTCGAAACAACCAATCATTTTACATCTGTAATCGGATTTCATTCAAGAAAAATTGAAGCATATTTCAAGATCTTAGCGGGTACAGACCACCTGGTTTGATGCTGATCAGATAACTTTTTTTTTTGTTTGGAAAACAAATTGATGCTTCTGCTACTGCTATAGTACATAAAGATTAGTAGGTGCACAAGAGGATTATTCTTATCCTTTAATTAACGTATTACCATTTTCAAGGAAATGAAAAGAGAGAGAGAGAGACCGCCCAAATCAAATATGAATGTTATGGAGAATGTTCATCGAGTCTTATCCTGATGAATAGACAAAGAATATTCACCCAAAAATCTTCTTTTTTCCAGCAACATCTGACAAGTTGTTGTTCTCCTCCCAAATTCGAGCTCGGGACATTCGACGATCGGAACATTCGACGACAACACGAACAGGGCAGACAAATTTCAAACTTATGGATGGGGTTTTCGCTTTAACTTTCGAGTTTATCCATCGGAAAGAGTTTTGAGTCACGTCTGTCATCATCGATTGGGATAGTTGGGCCAGTTTTTCGACGAGTGATGAAGGCGGTTGCTCGTGCAAAAGGAAAGACCAAACGGGTCGTGCGTATCGTGTGGTAATCCTCGCTCGTGCAGCCCCGAGATTCCTCTTTCATTGCATTGCCCGCGAGAAAACTCTTGATCGGGTCTGTCTAAACTTATTAGATCAGGAGCTATGGATCGAGCCGACGCAAAAATTCAATTCACGGTAATAGGAGTTCGCTAAGGAACTCAGGCAAAAAGGAACATACCTGCTAAAAAAAATTAGAGGATAATGATACAAATGGTCCATGAATTTTGGCTCAATGTGCAATATAATCCATGAACTTTAAATTTGTTCAGAGTGTGTAATATCGTCCATGAACTTTTGATATATTCAATATAGTCTTTAAACTTTTTGTATATGCTCAATTTAGTCCCTAAAATGTATAAAAATGTTCAATATTATCAATGTACTTGAATTAATAGAAGGACGACACTGACCATTTTTCATATAATCCACTGGCTAAATTAAATAGGCGTCAAAAGACTAGGAATCACTTTGAATAAATTAAAAGTTCAGGGATCGCATTGCATATTAAATCAGAGTATAAGACCGTTTGGTGTCATTTACCCAAAATTTAGTTCACATATAGATGACGCGGGACCCGCACTTGATCCCAACCAAAACGACAAGCACTTCGTACGACCACGAATACGAACAATTCACTTACCAAGCAATATATACAGAATTTGCCAAAAGTAAAAATGGCATGTTCAAACTGACATATGAATACACATATGAATCATATGGTAACACGGAGGTCCCTTTGGCTACAACATTCCATGAGAATCCCCCCCACTACATGTGGTGAAGAAATTGCCAGCAAAAAGAAGAGAGGAGGGGACATCCCTAGCACCACCTGCTATCTAGGGTCAATAATGCCTTTCCATAGGCGAAAGGGGCGAGAGGGTGACGTGTGGTTTTAGGAGGCTAAAAAGGCGAAGCCGAAAAAAAGAGAGAAAAAAAACGAAAAGAAGAAGGCGAAGATCGAAAGAAGAAAACGCTCGTGGCTGGAGAGGGAGGGCCACGTAGCAGACGGACAGGAGTGGTGCCGACAGCAAGGACGGAGACAGCCGTCTAATGAACCAAATTTAACCCAACAACTCCTCCTCAAAAAGCCTGTTCTTCCTGTCCCTCCACCTCCACCTCCCTCCCCATTTTTTGCGTCATTTTCCTCCTTTTTTTATTATTTAATTTTAATCGCTTTTGATCCCCCCGCCCTTTTTTTCCTCTACCTTTTCCTCCTTTTATTAGGACAGAAAAATCAATGAAAAAGACCGCGGAAAATCCTAAATTATGTCCGGTACGACACATTTATTCCGCCCTTTTTTTTTATACCAAAAATCTCAAATTATATCCATTAAGATACATTTATCCCGAACTTTTTTTTTTTACATCGAAAAAATCAAATAATGCCCACTGCGACATATTTACCTTAAAATTTTTCCTACGATATAAAAAAGCCTAAATTTATACTTGTGTGACATATTTACCCTCTATTAGGATTTCATCGAATAATTTCATTCGAAATAACGTCATAGTCACGTGAGCAAATTTTGCTTTTCGGCGTTAATATAGGCGGATTTTCAATGGCCCTTATTAACGAAATTCTATTAGAGGATAAATTTTTTGCATCACGGAAAATGTTTACCGTAAATGCAACACGATTTGAGATTTTGTTTTTTCTGGTGGCTTTTGCTCGAAAAGTAATAAGAGGAAGAGGAAAAGCAAAACGTACCATCATTTTCACGGCGGGCGCATTGAATGGGAGTAGCCAGAGCTTTCCAAAACTACAAAAACATGGGCATCATTATTGGAACTCTCGTAATAGCCAAGTGGCCTAAAAAACCAAGAAATTTCAAGCTCGATCTAAATTTTTCTTTTTCTCAAATTTTTCTTTTGTCTTCGAGACTGAATTCAAGAACCCTAAAGTTTCGACCCGTCACATCCCAATTTCGGGACCGAGACCATCATGCTGACTTTATTATTATTATTATTATTGTTATTATTATTTGAGGCCTATATAGAGATATAGAACCATCGTCCATGTGCCTAGATTTTGTGTCGCCCGAAGAAGCCATAAAACAAGAAAACACAATTATTTTCAATGGTAAATTGAGAGACCGAATAAGTTTTTAGTGATAAATGGTGCAACTAAAACATTTGATAATCGAAAAAAAGTGGAAGAAGTGGGCTCGAGTGTACCCGTGTGGGTGATAGGACCGCAGAACTTATACGGGTTAAATATCTCCAGAAAAATCTAAATGCTCTTCCACCACATCCACCTACTCTTTAGTACGATAATTAATCAGCACTGTACCTGAATGCAAACCCTATTTTTTATGCTCGCACAAAAACACGTGGAGATTAACTATCATTTTATTCGTGAACGACTAGTTCATGGGCAGCTCTATCTTCACTTCATTTCATCCATAGATCAGCCTGCCGACATTTTCACCAAAGGACTATCTTTTGCACGTTTCCGACTTCTACGATCCAAGCTGACAATTCGTCCTACCCCGTCAATTTGCAGGGGCATGTTGAACAAGTCAAAGTCATCTCCGCCAGAATTGGTTCAGCGAGAAACTTACAGCTCCTCTCCATATCTCTAAATCTTTATCTATAACTCATTCAATTTTATTCAATCTTCAACTGAATTTTGTTATACATATTCTCTACAAGTGTATATAAAAACCATCATTTCTTTGTAAATCATTAATGGGAGAAATCAATACGAAGTATTAATTTAAAATCTTTGTTTCTGTTCTCTGTTTTATCTATCTCTCTTTTACTGTTCGTAGTTTTAAGTTCTCATTTATTCCTCTGTACTTCGATTCTTCCTTTCTCTAAAGGTCCTAATTTTTTTACTTGTGGCTTGATGTGTATCTATATCATCCCACATCTCTTTTGTCGTTATCGATGTCCCGCACATTCCAACGGTCGATGAAAGGAACATTACGAGCCATAAAAGTATTTTTTTTTCCATCTGTCACAAGCGCTTAGAAAATCTTAGAAGACCTACGTATTCATCTCCGCCGTTGATCATGTGGGCTCCACATTCAGATTCACGCGATTATTGATCGAGATTATATTAATCCATGTGATCTTAAATCGTGTAATAACTACTCAGCGAGTGGTGCAGTGGTAAGGATATGTGAGAAACTCGAAACTTATATGCTCTTTAAATTTTATTTTTTTTGAAGCTCATTCACAAATTATCAAATTTCGTAGCATGATTTATTTATTTATTTACTTTGGTCTAGTAGCATGATTTTTTTTGGTGTCTAGTAGCATGATTTAATAGCCAGATATTAATATATCTATCTAGCATATATGCAAATTATTTTTTTTCCTAATCCGTCACTGTCGTGTGCTGACCAACGACGACCCGAAGGACCCCACTTTTTATATTTCTTTTCTTTTCTTTTCCTTTTCTTCTTTTTTTCATTTTTTTTCGTCGTCCTTCCGAAACTCCACATCCCACAATCCCCACTGTAATAGCAATAAATAACTCCCGATTCCTCTCCGACTCGAGAGATTTCTCCCTGGACCCGGGTGCACGGACCCAAACGGAGCTGAACCGCCCGATCTTGCTGAGCCGCCCGCGGGGCCCACAGAATCGACGGTCGCGATGGATCCGATCCACGTGGACCCAGGTCCAGGCAAGTGTTTCCCCCTTCCGCACACTCTCTCTCTACTGAGATTCTCTCTCTCTGTTCGTCGCCGTCTATAAGTACCAACCTCCATCTCCATCCATCTCTCGCTCAACCTTCTTCCCTCTCTCTCTCTCTCTCTGACACTTTCTCTCTCCAGCTCTCGCGAAAACCTCGCTCGCTCACTCGCCACTTGGCTAACTCGACGCCCGCTCCAACGCCCCTTTCGCCGTCGCCGGAGACAATGCACTACCAGACGGAGTCGTGGGGCTCGTACCTCCCGGCGGCGAGGCCCGTCGGCGTCCTCGCCGGCGACCCGGTGGAGCGCATAGAGCGGATGGCGGCGGAGAGCGCGGTGGTGATCTTCAGCGTGAGCACGTGCTGCATGTGCCACGCCGTCAAGAGCCTCCTCTGCGGCATGGGCGTCAACCCCACCGTCCACGAGCTGGACCACGACCCGCGGGGGAAGGAGCTCGAGAAGGCCCTCGCCAGGCTCTCCGGCGCCCCGCCCTCCGCCGCCGTCCCCGTCGTCTTCATCGGCGGGAAGCTCGTCGGCGCCATGGACCGCGTCATGGCCAGCCACATCAACGGCACCCTGGTCCCCCTCCTTAAGGAGGCCGGCGCGCTCTGGCTCTAGCCCGCCGCTCCCGCCGCCAACTCCGCCGCCGTTAACCACCTCCCCCCTTTTTTTACAGTGGGCTCTGTTCTAACCAGGAGGAAAAGGAGAAAAGAGAATGGCGTTGACGTGCCGTATACTGATGGAAACGAACGAAAATGCAGAGGAAGAGGAGTTCTCGTGGGCTGGTGCTTGGTCGTAGGTTGTCGCTCGTTCTGCTCCGGTTTAGGATTGAGGGGTACAGTAACAGTCGGCGACGTTCTCTCCTAGTCTTTCTTTCTTTTTTGGTTCCTTTTTTTACGGGTTTTTTTTCTTCCTGTTTTATGGCGTCTTATATATGTTTGTTTTAGCAGAGCATCTGATGTATTTGTTCTCTTGGTTTTTCTTTTCGTGTTGGTCAAAGGTCGTGTGTGAAGTACGAAGTCAGCTTATGGATGGGTCTTTTTTTTTGTTTATGTGGTGTTTGAATCGGTGACTGTAATTTGCTCCCTCCTCTGTATAGAAAGCGAAGAAGTTCCCCCAAAAAAGAAAAGACTTTTCCTTCGGATATGCTTTTTGCTACTTCGTCCTCTTATCAATAAGCATTGTAATGCTCGAATCTCGTTAGTGTTCTTCACACTCAGCTTGCTATAGCAGATATACATATGTATGGAGAGAGAGAGAGAGAGGGGATGCGATAACAATCTCTTAAGCTCACGGAAGGCGGGTTCTTTTACCTCGTAACGGGGTGTTCGGGGGATTTTACCCAACTAATCGGTGATACAGGGGGGGTCTGTACTCTTCGGTTGGCTGCGAGAGAATTTCAAAGTCCGAGCATCGAACGAGAAAGACGAACACGCTTATCATTCGAGCACGATACGTAATTTTTAAGACCGTTTCTTCTCCGTTAACATGGTCGTTTTGGATTTGGAGGCAAGGAAATTGTAGAGCCGAGGACATTGTTAACGAGTGCGCCGGAAATTGGTTAAGCATACATAATGAGGGAATAATTCACTTTTCCTTAGTTGGTTGCTGGGCGATAGTGCAATGACCAAAGTATGTAGGGGCATTATTTTCCTCCATTTATGATTGAAGAAAGTTGCTCCGACCACGCCTCTGAATGATGATTTATAAGTTATGAATATTACCCTTACATCCATCAACCCATTAGAGATAATTAGGAGATTCCCCCACATTTCCCATGATTGTGCATATTATTGATTGATCGTAATTGAGTGTAACTAATGTCACAGTATCTCGGTACATTAGATAGCCATCTCGTAAATCCTATAAACATCTCGTGCACTCCTTAGTACGAAAATCGTCACCATTTGTCCTTCACAATAAGGACATGCCGCACCAAAACCGGTCCTAGAACAACATCTGTTAAAAGGGTGGACAACTCGATTTTTCGCCGACACGACATGACGATGATACGGCATAGGCGCCTAAAGAGGGGAGGGTGAGGGTGGGGGTGGGGGTTGCATTGCGGTACGTGGACCGCGTTGCCTCTAGGCTATAAAGACCGGCCGTTTTCCTCGCCCGCAAGCAATAATCGCACGAACCACGTCGCCATAGAGTGGTAGCCACGGCCACGATCCATTTCCTCCTACCCTTCGCGTCAAAATTGCCATTGATCTTCCTCCTACGATCGCAAATTTTACGTTGAGTTTCCCTTTGGAGGGTCATTTGATGCGTAACAATTCCTAAATGATTGCATTGGTTCCCACAAAGTTAATACGACGCTGAGAGTTTACGTCATCGCTTGCGTAATGTAATGAGTCTTAAACCCAATGCAAAAGCGCATGTGTCGAAGAATAGTAGGTATTGCGCATATATTTTTTGCCAATGTGAGCTTAGAATCGCACGATTTCCTCGCTTCAATCGGAAGTCTAGGCAAGCAAAGTCCCGCAGCTCTCGTTCGATCAAGTCGGGTCGACCTGATCTAGCGTGCGCGCGCAGAAGGGGTCCGCTTGTGCGCTATTTATCTAGGCCGGTTTAGGTGGGTTCTTCGGTCCCTTTCGAGGTCATGCTTTCCTCATTTCCCCGTGACGACAGGCCTAGCTCTAATCGGTGGATTACAAAATCGGACGCCGTCACGTGCAGACTTACCTAAAAAAAAATGCGAACGATGCCCGTTTTTGTAGTATACAAGGAAGAGAGAAAATTCGACCCCTGATTTATTTTATTTTTTGAAGCTTTTTTCTTTTTGTGGCCCGAGCCTATGGGTAGAGTCCAGTTAATTTGTTTTCTCTTATGAATATTAAAAAAAAATAATAAAAAAAAGAGGCCAGCTTGGGGTGCGGGGTGGTACCAACCCTGTTGCCTTTGCCTACTTGGCAAGCTGGCACTCCAACAAGACCGTGGAAGTGGGCCCCCACGAAGGAGTAGTTGGTGGTCCGGACTCCCATAATTGCGGCTAATGTGGGCCCATCCAGATCCTAGTCGGGCCCAAACTGTCATGTCGTCACCCCCGCATCAACACATAATCTAAGTAAGAGAGCGACACAACGACTCTTGTCTCTTCCTGTTTTTTCCTTTCCTTTTTTCTATTTTTTTTTTCAAAAAAAATTAATCTTCTTTTTTGGCAGAAGAATCAGGTTGTTGTGGCAATGCTACTAAACTAGTCATCGAGCCCGTTTGATCGGCTGACAATCCACGATTGACGGTGCTCGTTATCGATGTTAGAAAGTCCAATCCAAAAGCTTAAACTATTAAGTGGAGGAAGACCACATGAATATAAAGAGCATTTATAACCCGTTGTTAATCGATGTGGGATAATTCTTCTATACCCTCACTCACGTGCAAGCCGGATTACGAGCAGCACGTGAAATTTTGACATCACACAGTAACATGGAATTTTTACCATGCATATTTGTGGAAAGGATAGCATTGGCTTTGATACCATATTAGGAAGTTTAAACCAAAAGGTTAAGCTATTAGGTAGAGAGAGACCACATGAATATAAAGAGCATTTAAGACCCGTTGTGACAGCACGTGAAATTTTGACATCGCATATTCACATGAAATTTTTTCCATGCACATTCGTGAACGGGATAGCATTGGCTCTGATACCATGTTAGAAAATCCAAACCAAAAGCTTAAGTTGTTAGGTAGAGGGAGATCACATGAATATAAAGAGCATTTAGGACCCATTATCAATCGATGTGGGATAATTTTTCAACAAGCGAAACTACTGATGATTCATCGCCGGTTGTCCAACGGCTCTTGAAGGGCCTAGCAATTCCGTCGTGATTTTTACCGTTTTAAGTCCATCGCATCGTGGAAACGGCCGTAAAATGTGATAGGTACAACGGGGAACTTGCTCGACATGGATCTAGAAAAAATTTTCTGGTGGGCGCAAACATTGAAATTGCTAAGAGCAACGCTACTCAATAGGTTTTGTTTGGGTCGTAGGCACTAGCAATTACATTAATTACCAAACTTGTCTGTTTATGTCCTCTCCACGTTCATGTGGGGAAACCACACTACAATGAAGGATGATAAGTTAATAACTTGATTGACTCCGTTCTTTGAAAATAGGGTTCACATTAAAAAAAAAACCACCCACAATAATACGTTCATGTCATATTTACTTCAAATTATTTTGGATCACAAAAACTCTCGAATTGATACATTCATGCCACATTTACTTCAAACTAATGTACCGATGCCACACTTATCACAAACCAATGCACCTGTGTCATATTTATCATAAAATCCCAGATTTACCACAATTTGAGGAAAATATGGCACGAGTATATCAATTTTGGGGTAAATATGGCATATATATATCAGTTTGAGAATTTTTGTGATATAAAAATTAGTTTAGGATAAATGCGGTACGGGTGCACCGATTTGATAGCTTTTGGGGTGCAAAAATTAGTTTGAGGATAAATGTGATACTTATACGCCAATTTGATTGCTTTTGGTGATATTAACCCTTAAAAATATTAGTAGGGTACGTCCTTGGTCGATCGTTTACTTCATCTATTATGATAAAACGTTGGTGTAATATATATGCATTTCATGAGATGAGAAATGTATGTAAAGGCACGCGTGCGAGTCGCGGCAAAACAGAGCTCCAAACTGCGATTATTCAAAGTACATAAACACCCGACAAGATCTTTCAAAGCTAAAAAACGGGTATCGTCCGAGATGGATAAGATTCCTCAGGCAAATAGTATCTTCTCCACTCCCGTGAAAAAACACGATTCCTTCCTATCTATATCCACGTTATATAATAATTAATAATTAAAGCTTATTCCTTAAAAAAGAGAATAATAATTAAAAAAAAAAGATTCTTAGTTCTTGCTCTGACATGCATCGTCTGAGGTATGTTCCGTTGACATTCAGCTGCAGTTCTTGCGTGCAGCATCGTCCCGTGGGCGGAATGATTTGTATTTTGTACCTTGCTTGCTCAAGTTGAGAGAATATGTTCTTATATTCACTCTTCGAATATTGCAACCAGGTCCAGAAGCAAGAAGCATTTGTTCTTTTCTCTCGTCCACGATGATTATACTTCCTAATCTGGCCTAACGGGAAGATGTCCGGAGCCCCGAGAAAGATCTCGACAAGGACTCGTTTGATTGCGAGCGATGTCGGGTGGATAGAATTGATTCTCGTATTCATTTTCGGTCGGATTGAGTGTGAAATGAATTATTCTCTCGATATGTGATTGGCTATATCAAAAAGGCACGAGCAAGAGTCGCGCCTCGAATATTCTAGATAATATTTATTCATTAAAAGGTGCGTAGGTGCATTTCTAGAAAAAGAAAATTGACCAAAGGACTTGAGGGGATATAAAATCCAATTAGAAGGAAGGCTTTTTTTACTATGAACTTTGGCAACCCAGTCTGTCATTTTATTTGCTTCTCTGTTACAATGGGCCACTCTTAAATCTGAAAAGAGACTCAAGTGGGTCTGAGCTTTCTTTCTTTTTTTTTTTTTTTTTGGTCCAGGTCTGAGCTTTCTTGATAAGTAGACTTACCTACCACAAGGGCCGATCTGTACTACTCAGATACCTTATCAGATTAGATTGAATTAAGTATAGTTCGATTGTCTGATCTTGATTGAAAGCATTCTAGGGTAGGCACTTCAATTTTCACAGTAGAGGACGCCTTGACTATGCATGTGAAACTATTGACAAGAAGGAAGGCATTTTCTACTATAGGCTTTTGCAATCTAGTCCGTCACCTTATTTGTCTTTTGCAATTGGCTACTCTTAAATCTGAAAAGAGACTCAGCAGGACTTGGGCTTTCTTGATAAGTAGACTTACCTCCCACAAGGCCCTGTCTGTGTTACTCAGACATCTTATCAGATCAGATTGATCTGAGTGTAGTTCCAACGTAGTTTCTTATCTTGATTGAAAGTATTCTATGGTTTCCAACAAAGCATGCACTTCAGTTTGACATCTAGGGGCAGAGCAAGAGGACATGTTCAATTGTCTCTGGCTGCTGATGGCATAGATCACAAACTGGTTCGGGTACAACTGTTCTCCTGAATAATTTATCGTTGGTAGATAAGGCATTTTGACAAACACCCTAGAGAAAATGTTTGATTTTGAGTAGGGTAGATGTCTGCCAAAATTTTTTACCAGAGAGGGATGCCCTGATCACATCTCGAACCTCACTCTCCTCTCTGTTCTTATTATAAACACTCTTCACTGTGAAGATCCCTGTTCTGGAATTAGTGCAGGCGAGTCTATCTGCTGTGGTCTGAGATCCCAGCGGGATTGCAAGTATTTCGCTTTGCAGCTCTTCATCAAATGAAGTTTGGAGTGTCTGTTGATTCCATCTCTGCTCCTCCTTTACAATTAGATTAGCAACCATGCATGGTTCTCTTCGGTTAGCCGGTGCACCAATCGGTCCCCTTTTAAGCCATCTGTCTTCTGTAATCTTTTATACATTCCCCATTTCCTACAACCTACGTAACTGAGGGTTAAGTTCAGACAGGTTCAAACATGATAAGTTCAGACAACACTTTTCACCGTGTCATTTACATTTCAAGCCCTTCCACATGTGGGCCTTAAATGAGACCCGCTCAATCCTATGTCTAACACCATATTCGGCTGCAAAAACAAGTCTATTCCAAATCTTTTATTGGTCTACTACATACTATAATGTTTGCTCACTGTAATTCTATAACCTACTGTAGCCAATCTGCAATAGCGATTTACATTGCCATATAATTGCTACAACACCATATAACTAAAGCTGCAAAAAGTGTAACAACTATTCTCAAAGCGTTCATCAGTCTTCTCTCTTACTTTGCCGATATATGGACAGTGCAATGCTATCGATATCCAACGCTACTAAGGTGCAAAGAAGCATATGGTTAGGCTGCCTACTAGGACTTTGACTCGCGTCTTACTTTACAGACTAGTGAGGTAATTCATGAGCGTGATAAACATACAATAGAAATCTTAGTTATTTTTGCATTCGCTCTGCCTTTTCCGATCAATGGTGAACATTAACGGGAACAAATCCCGTTTTACACGAATCATATGCACGTGACATTAAAATTGAAATTAAATAAGGCCTATGTTAGTGATTTTCTTTCATCGATACCGAATGACACGTACGCACAGCCTAGTTACAAAAGTTAAAATCTTCATACAAGTGATTCAATTGCTGGTGTATTTTATATAACATGATCGCATTCTTTAAGTGGTTACAAACAATTAGTACGAATGCCTTGTCTTTCTTTGTGGATCCCATTATTGTCTTGGGTTTGTGGGTGACAAGCGTAACCTAAATTTCAGAGGGCCTAAAATCCAACACTCACGACATAAAACGGTCGGGAAAATCCACGGTAATAATAACAATACTTTATTTGTACTCCCCCTATATTATTCGCCACGAAACACAACAAATATTAATTAGCAATCGAACACATCCTAAGCCCATTTTTTCTCTTCTCTACAAAGTAAAACGTATGATTAATCATCCTTCCACCCCTCCCCCCCCCCAACATTTCCTTCATGATCTCTCTCCTATCTCTCTTTCCCATTCTGTCCATTAATCTAAACTTCGACGAAACCTGGTCCATTGTGTGAAAAGCATCGATCAACAAGGGCAAAAGAGACATACTGCACGTAGAGAGAGGGAAGGAAGGAAAAGCTTAATTTTAACATCGCCATGCAGAGGCCGCGATGATGGCCCTATCTTGCCACCCCAAGAGCAAGCAGCCCTTGTCCTCCGTCAAGCGGTACCCGTCGCTCGAGTACAGACCCAGCAAGATCTTCGACTGGGTCACGGCGTTCCCGCTGAGCGGGACCCCCCTGAACCCCTTCCCCTCCATCACCTTCCTCCACTTCTCGAGCCGCTCGTGCCGCACCGTCCGCTCTGCCCCCTCGCGCGCCACGACGTTCTGTATCTCCGGTGCGAAGATGTACTGCTCCACCTGCGCCCTCTGCGCCGACTCCGGTGGGAACGTGGCGTCCAGCGAGTCGAAGATGGCCGAGTAGTAGTGCAGCGCCTCCAGGAACCGGCCCAGGAAGTAGGGCCCATTGTGGCTCGCTTCCTGCTCGACGAGGGTCACGATGTTCGGGGCCTGGTCGCGGATCATGGAGAGCAGGCCCCCGAGGCAATTTCCAGGGACGCGGTGGAGGCAGTTTACGGAGTTCACCGCCAGTGCCTCCCCGACCCGCCGGTTCAGCATGTGGGGCTTGAGGTCCTCCAGCTGCTCCCCCACTGGGTGGAACTCGAAGGGGATGTGGAGGGAGTGGGCGAGCTCCGTGAGGCACCGGCCAGTCTCGCACACAGCCTCGATGTCAGGACCGACTCCGGTTATTCGGAGGAAGGGGGCCCCACCTGGCCGGGCAGCGAGGGCCTGCATGAAGGCTGGCCACTGGTAGCCCTGGTGGATGTCTAGGTCGATCACGTGGACACGCTCCTCGAACTCGATCGCCTCGAAGATGGCCTGGTTGGCGGTGAAGTGGGCGAATTTTATGTAGGGGCAGGCCTGGTAGAGGATTTGGTAGTACTTGAGGATTTCGACGGAGTTTGGGGGGAACGGGGAGAAGGGCTTCGCGGAGGAGGAGGTGGGGCGAGTGGCAAGGGTGGCGGCGAGGCGGGCACTCAGGGCTTCGGTGAAGCAGCCGGCGACGCGTTGCATGGAGTCGCCGATGGACGAGACGATGCGGTTGAGGTGGTGGAGGTACTTCTGGGCCAGCATGTAGTCCTCTTTGGCCACTGCTTCAGCACACGCAAGGAGGAGGTGCACCAGTTGAAGCCCACTGTCTTGTTCCTGATAGATAGAAAGACATTTATTATATGTAGATATATGATCGGATTTCTGCTTTTCGGATGCTTGTTGAGTGATATTAAATAAGCATGATAGTATTTAGAAAAAGAAATGGAATAGGTGCTGATGATGTGACACAACGTCTGAAATGGTAAAAGATTTTCCATAAAAAATTAGGCATTTAGTATATGCTTCCCGGAATAAATACGATAGAATATTATGTTCCGTTTGTTTTGCAGAGAATGAATGATTTATAAAATATATTTTTAAAAATAATCGCTTGTACCATTTATACAAATAAAAATGATCGAAAAATATTTTTATCGTCCAAGATAATATTTAAACACGAATTGTTATCAATAACACGAAAAAAAAATTTCTCTTATTATTTCAAACGATCATTTATAGGAAAATATTTTTCAAATTATTCTTTTTCGCGAAATAAGCGCACCCTAAAATCAAACTCTGTTCAAGATCTATTGAGATGCGCAGTAGAAATCTAATGTCTCGCGAGGTACATTGGCCCTTATATGTGGACTCGTTTACTCCCAAGAGATTAGACTCGTCAAGTCACGAGACAATTAAATATATCAACTATATGTCTTTGAACTTTACATATCCGGTTTGAGATTTATCTCTGCAATCACTGCCCACGTGTGTGCACCGGGCTTTACAAGATATTGCCTAAGAAGATCCGATTATGTGGATGAATTACATGAACTTGTGATCGGACGAATGATGTACATGATATTACAACGTTAGACAGTTATTACTATGATTGACCCAGTCTACCGTGACCCCCCATCTAATAGTTTTCGTGAAGCGATGGAGAGAGATACCTGTTCGGAGCCAATAGCGATGGGCATCATCAAAGTGTCAGCCAGGTTTTGATGCTGCTGAGTCGACTGATCATGTTGCTGTTGCCGCTTCTCTTGGAGGTGCTCTCGTTGCAGCTGCTGAGACAGAGGCATCTGCGAACTCGACTCGCAAGACCCGGGATAATACACATCGCTCTCCTGAGTGAGCTGAGATCCGCTGCCCACCGTCTCGCTCATCGGCCGGCCATACCTCGGTCCTACTGACATGCACTCGAGCATCGGGCTGGCGTCGAACTGCGAAGGATATATCGTGAACTCTTCCTTCTGGTAGTCCTCCAAGTAATCCTCGATAGCAGGCAGAGCAAGATTACTCCCAACTTGCATATACGGATTATGATTGTTATTACTATTGCTGTTGCTGCTGTCGTTGTTATTACTATTGTTATTGTTACTGCTATTGTTGTTGTTATTGTTCGAGACCTTGTGGAGAGGGCTCATACCCTTCCCTCGGAGCGGACCAAGCGGCGAAGAGAAGAGCCGCGGTGGGGAGTACCACGAGAGGGACTGCCCTTGGATGTTGGGAGCATAGGTCAAGCTGTTGATGTAGCTGAAGTTCGGACTGTGGGGTGATGGGAGGTTAGTGTTAGTACCATTGTGGGCAGTGAGGTTGGTCCTCGCAGGGGAAGAGATCATGAAGTCGCCATCGAGCTGGTCGGAGAAGAAGGACTCGAGGAGGGCGGCGGTGGGCGACTGGACTTCGGCTTCTTCTTCCTTGTGGGCCTTGAGCGACGGGAAGCTGAGGCTCGGCGGGGTGAAGCTGCTATGATCCATTTCAGATGGAGGAGGTGTCTTCTTGGACTCTGACATTGAGATAGACGATGAGTCAGATGGTGAGGTTGGTGGGTGGGTCATGTTGGTGCATGAGTTCTCACTCTTGAGTGAACCCATGCTTCCACACAGAGAATTGATCATGTCCTCTCTCTCTCTCTCTCTCTCTCTCTCTCTCTCTCTCTCTCTCTCTCTCTCTTAAAATTTGGAAAGAAGGAGGTGGGGTTCAAGGTCTCGTTCACCAAAACTTTGAAGAAGGAAAAGAAGGACGAGCTTTAATGGGTCGTTGGTGTTATTTTTAGAGCTGAAGAGCTCTTCTTACAGAAAGAAAGACTCGGAATGCGCCGATGTCTTACTCTTATGCAGAGGCATTTCCCCCTTCTCCTTTCTTGTCTGCATGGGTAGGAGGCAAAAGACGACAGAGGAGAGTAAGGAAAATGAGACAAAAAGTGGAGATATGTAGAAGTTCCATGTGATTGGAAGGACGTGCCAAATCCCAGCCTACGTTTCATCACCCAAGGCTAAGCTGTTATCTAGGGTTCATTCCTCGTCGTTTCCTCCAGCGCTGCTTTGGAAATTCTGCTGCCAAAGTAGAGGACAAAAATCCCATCTGTTGGTATTTCCTTGGGCCGGCCCGATCTGGAGAACAAGGTGAATAACATAGTTTAATCGACCCTTTTCCTTGTTGCAACATTAATAAACAAAATGATTAAAAAAAAATGGAGAGGAAATGGTACTATTGGTCAGTTGCGATTGTTTGATTAAGTAGATGAGTTAAAAAGAGTGAGAACCATGGAGATTCAGAAATGACAAGGGACAAAACGTTTCGCTTGGGAAAAGGGACAGAATGTCGCCATCAATGATGGTCGGGAAGATAGAAGAAAATATCCCTCATCCTCAAGGAAGGCAAAATTCTGAAATAATAACAATGATAGTAATGATGATAAAAAAAAAGGGGAGGAGGAAAATGGTCGTGGAATTCCAGGCCTACAATGGGTACGAGATTCGTACATTTTTTTGTGTGTTTCGGGGCAATACTTTGGTTGGAGGCCGTGCGGGTCTTGCACCATCAAAAGGTGTCGAGATGTTTCGGTGCATTTTGTTCCTGGGTCCAACAAGGTTTCATGCGACAGTTGATCCTGAACTGATAATCTCTGAGACTACGACGGAAATGATAGCAGTTTTGAGTATGAAATCATGATTCTCTTCTCTCCAGAAGTCTACACCGTTAGAAAGTTGTCCAGGACATTTTGTATCGCTGCTTCTCACGTAAAAAACCGGGCTTGACCGGCGACATAACCCCCACTTGGCGCATCCCCAAAGGTAGAAATACGAGACTGACGCACACGGGAAAATGAACCCGGATAACAATTAGAGAGAATCGGGATCCGTGATGTGCGATTCTAATTTCGTTATATTTGAAGTTAAGACGATAAACAAATCATTCTCCTCGAAAGTTTAAGCTATCGAAAAATTTGCCACAAATCTTGTGATTCTCATTAATGTTTCAAAAAAACTTGAACGGTAATGTCATAGACGCTCCCCTTCGTGGGAAGGCTAGAACGATATGGGAATCCTATTGACGGGGCAATACGGGGGGATGCCTGGTTTAACTTAGCATACAACCGCTCGCTCTAAAAGCTCGAAAGATCGGGTGGTGGATTGAAGTCTCTATAAAGGGGTCTAAAGTTTTTTTCTTCCTCTGGTTACGAATGCGACACCATATGAGCTAAAAGGAAGTACGCGACAAGATCACGAGGTGGGGGTCACACATTTAACTCGATAAAAAGAGGAAGACAAGTGGGATTAATGTGGAGAAGAAGAGGACAAGAGAAAGGGAATGAAAGGACATTGGCAACATCGTCGGATGTGGCGTCGGCGACGCCGCCCCCCACGGGCCCACGCCTTGTATTTGCCCAAGTCATCGAGCGTTTGTCTCTGCCTCTCTCTCTCTCTCTCTCTCTCTCTCTCTCTCTCTCTCGTGCTCAGCAGTAAATAGCTCGCTTGCGTCCCCCGACACGTAAATGCGAACATCTTTTTCACCTTTGATCTTTCCTTGGTAATCAATGGTCTGGCGTGTCCTTTTTTGCTGTGTACTGGAGTATCATATCTTGTCGTGAATTGAGAGCTTTGTGAAGTGAAGAGGAACTTACCAATTACACCGAGGATGAATGTCGCTTTCGGCGAGCATATGACATGATGGAGTAAATTAGGTGGAGAAAACGTCCGAATTGTGTCTTTTCACCACCTACTGCGAAAATCCGTTCGATCTAATCAATTATCGATCCATATTGTTGAGAAATATACAGGAGATAATGACAAAAATGATCCGGAAACTTTAATTCATTGTGTAATGTAATCCATGAACTTTCATTTTATTTAATATGATCCATGAATTTTTTATAATATTCAACTTAGTCCTTGGACTATATGAAAATATTTAATGTTGTCCTTCTATTAATTCAAGTTCAGGGACAACATTGAATATTTTCATATAGTTCAGGGATTAAATTGAACATTTACCATCGGTCCATATACCACATTGAAAGTTCAGGGACCACATTGTAAATTTGGCTACTGTAAGAAATCACATTGAACAAATTAAAAATTGAGAGACCATATTACATATTAAGCTAAAGTTTAATTACTATTATGTCATTTTCCCAATATGCAGTCCTATATGTAGACGTTTTTTGAAAATCACACGCACATCCTACTTCATGACTTGAGTTCATGGCATTATTGAGGGCTCCGCAAGGATGTGATATTGAACCGCCATTAAATTTGTTCGTTCCGAATGTACATATTGCACTTTTACTTCTCATATGTACATATATGTATAGCACATTTTCAATTTCTAATTATTCGAACTACCATAATCGAGTTCAATCCTTACAGTTTTTAAACATATACTCCCAGTGCACCTAAAAAGGTGTCTTCTTCCCATATATTTGAGACCGTTCTTGAATCAAGAAAGATATATATATATATATATATTTGAATTATGATATTCATAATCTAAAATTTCGCTCAAGCCTATTTCTCGATATTTTAGAATTTTTGGGACAAAACGAGTTGGTCTCGCGAGTGACACGATACCAGAAGATAGGTCATAAGATCGAGTCATGAGTTCACAATAGCCCCATTTATTCACGTCCGTATATATCCGTCGCGTCTCGCACATGAGGCTTACCCAAACTCACTCGGTCTATATAGTGCTCGAGTTATCAAGGATTAAATGTTAACTTTGCTCGATTTCAAGATATAAATGGATAGTTATGAGTATTAATCTACTCAAATCATTAGCCCCCATGCCTGCTCAAATGTCTATTCACTATGTATCCGTACATCCCATTTGCACACAAAGAATTTCAAATCCGAACGGAAAAGCCCAAAATCAAGTAGAAAAGCCCAAAATCAGGAGTAAGCCCAAGTTCACTCTTTTCGAACCACCCAAGACACAAAATAAAGCCTCAGCCGAAACCTCATACGGCAAGACTCAATCACTGGTATCATTCTTTCCGAACAAAATTAATTGCTCTATTCTGCACCAACTTCTATGCCCAAAAATACGAGTTCTTTGGGGAAAAGAGTAAAAAAAGTCATAAACCTTTTATATTGATATCGATTTAATCATAAATCTTTTTTAGTGCCAATTGAGTCCTAAATTTTTTGATATAGTGTCAATTTAGTCATTTCGGCTAATTTTGCCTAGATATTACTGATGCAAACGCCGGCTGCTGGTGCTGACATGGACAATTTTTAATAATATTATAATATTATAATATTTTTTTGAATTTTTTTATTTTTCGTTTGATTTTTTTTCCTCCCCTCTCTCCTTCCTCCAGCCGGTCGTCGTACCGCCGGTCCGACGACCGGCCAGAGGCCAGCGAGGCTCGCCCTCGCTAGATGGCCGTGAGGGCAGCCTTGCGTTGGGCTGGCAAGGGTCGAGCTTCACTCAGCCATGGCGAGGCTTGCCTTCACCGTCGCTGTCGAGGGTAAGCCTTGCCAGTGGCCAGCAAGGTTGGCCTTTGGCAGGCCGCCGATCCAACGACCGGCTGGAGGAACGAGGGAGGGGAGAAAAAAAAAATGTAAAAATTCATTTAAATATTAAAAATATTATTAAAAGTTATCCACATCAATAAAATCCGGCCAAAATTAGTCGGAAGAACTGAATTAACATTATATTAAAATGTTTAAGACGAAATTGGCATTGGATAACTTTCGATAGGTATTGGTAAATGTCGAAAAACTATTGGTAAAAAAAAAAAAAAGAGAACGGTGACTTTTTTCCGAAAAAAGTAAATAAAGAAGAAGAACTATTCTCGAAACCAACACATTTATAGCTTCGATGCAAGAGCCCAAAATGTAACTCTTTGCACAAAGCTTGTCATCTTGAATGACATTAATGCGCGTGTATAATATATTTATATTTGCCGATATAAGATCCAATACTCTTTGAATGCTCAACAAATTTCTAAGGGTATTAGAATTCGCAATCTCACACTACCAATAATCGTAGCACACGCGTCGGTGCTCGTTTGAGCGGCTTCAAAGAACACGAAAATGTGGTGATTCGAATAGGGATTGAACGGGAGTGTCCAGTGACATTGGCTCTTGGTAGTATTGCTAGCTCATGGTTAAAGTTTGTCATGAACGCCCACCAGAAAATAAAAGACATGAAGTGCAAGACAAGATGGACAAAGCAAAGGGCCACCCTTCCATCTCCAAGCATAGTTTGAAATTTCCCCCAAATCAAGGAACCAAAGCTCAAATTAGGCCCCCATGAGGAAAATCTCTTTCTATATAGGCCATCACAACAAGAGCTCCATATAGATGTAAAGGTGAAAGTGCACTTTTGGGTCTTGAACTCGAACAAATTTTCCATTCAAGTCTTTCAATTTTTTATCTATCTAATCAAATTCTCGAACTTTTCTAAGGATTTTTAAATTAGCCTGGTCAGCAACCAACGGCCATTATCCATACTTTAATTGGTGGGATTTAAGAATAAATAGGGAAAATTGTCCAAAAAGTTCTACCTATCGCACCTTTTCTTGTGCTAACTGAATCCTAGACCCTTTCACATTTTGCCAATTGAGTTTATCCGATCAATTTTGGCCGACACTGGCAGTCTTATGTGGCCGGATAAACTCAATTAACAAAGCATAAAAAATATTTAAGACTCAATTGGCATAATGAAAAAGTTTCGGATCGAATTGACAAAAGTGCAATAAGCTCAATAGATGATTTTCCCGAATAAATATGCACCAACACACGACACTATACTTGAATATAACCCACCCACCCCCTTCCATTCCCTCCCTCATAACCCCAGCACAACCGTTTCTTCCAAAACGAGGGCCGCCCCCACTTTCCAGAGCAAGCAAAGATGCGTGAGTTGCTGCACCCGCACCGCCATGGATGGAAAGATGGAGAGAGAGAGAGAGAGGAGTCACGAGAAAGCGGGAGGGAGGGAAGAGCGGATGCTCTGGCGGATGACACAGTAATTGCGCTCCCCTATCGCTTCACCGATTCAGCATAGATGTTCACATGAACGACATAAATGCCCCTCATCCGTCCAATCACACGTCCTGTTCTTTTCATTCCCCCCGTCTGGGGACAATGAATCCGAGTAAATGTCAAAGCATGTATCTTCATAGGATGGAAAGGGTTTTACCGTATACTGAACATCGGACATGCTTAAAGCACCGCATCGTCAAAAAAACACGAAGAGCTTTCACAGGAAAATGGTTTTGCACATTCGTAGTTTTGCTTGAGTTTATGAGTTGAAATGTAGCGCGACTACTCCAATGATGGAAATAATCACGCGCTCGTTTGATATAGCATTTTGTAGGCTCGTTATATCAGAAATAAAAAAGAAAGAAGGGACAAAGCCACCAAAAATCCTGAACTATGCCCGTTGTGACACATTTATCCCAAACCGTTTTTTGTGACACCAAAAACCTCAAATTATGTCCAGTGTGATACATTTACCTTCAACTTTTTTTTTGTGACACCAAAAATTCTAAACTATATTCATTGTGACACATTTACCTTCCATTAAAAATCACCGTTAAAATCTGACGTGGCTCTTATGCGTCGCTGACGTGGCGCCACGTGAGCGCCCAATCAGAAAAAAAAAATGAAAATAAAAATCAAACCTAAAAAAGAGAAAAGTATCGAAGCACTGCAATTGCTGTTACTGTTCATCGTCTTCAAGTACTCATCCGTGGACGACGACCTCGGCCGAGGTTTGTCCATGCTTCCCGACCTGGGATCGAGGACGTGGGGGGGCTCGCTCGGCCACCTCGATTCTAAGGCCGCCGCAGCAGTCCGATGACTATGAGCCTTGCTCGATGTTCAAGAACAAGATCTCGCTCTTGAACCCAATTTTGTGTTTTACTTGGGACCGAGCTCGCCGAGATATGGAGTAGCCGAGTTGTCCATGTCACTCTATTCCTCCTCTTTCTCACAAGCTTCTGCACTACTAGGGCTACTCTCCATGTCTTTAACCCATTTCAGGGAAACATCAGGAGCTGTCGAACCTTTTCCCTCCTTTTCTCGAAGTCGCGGAATTTCGCCGTATCATCATGGAATGTGCCTTGGAATCACGGCGGTGCAAACATTGGCTATTATTTGCCAATCTTCCAGTTCTATTCCAAAGGTTTGGAGAAGCGGTGATCAAAGTGGCGAAGTCCATGGATTGATTTTGCCAGTATTTGACTAATGAAGTTAAGAGGGGAAAATGGAGGTATTTACCCAGAAAGATGAACCCTAAAGGAACGAGCAAGAAGATTACAACAAAAGAAAAAAAAAAAGGAAAGAAAATAAAAGATGAATTATACATAGCCGAATGTCCACGAGGATCTCGGCAGCGATGGGACGATGAACAGTGCATCGAAGGCGATGAACAGTAACAGCGATTGGGTTTAATTTTAATTTAGGGTTTTCGGTGTCAGATTTTAACAGTGATTTTTAACTGAACCCAAACGGAGGGTAAATGTATCGCAATGAGCATAGTTTAGGATTTTGGTGTCACAAAAAAAAGTTTAGGGTAAATGTGTAACACTGAGTATAGTTTGGGATTTTTGGTGTCATAAAAAAAAGTTTGAAGTAAATATGTCACAATGGCATAATTTGGGATTTTTAGTGACTTTTTCCCCAAAGAAAATCACGAGGACCCACAACGTGTCGAACTAATTTTCATATATTTCCGCGCTGTAATTGATTCCGTTTATCATGCCATCCGTCAAATGAATCTATATTAATTTTTTTACCCTCTTGGTACAATGCTGTTTATGTAACAGTTTGCAACAAGGCTAGTGTAATGGCGGTAGCAAGTTTAGTGAGAAAATTCACCAAAATCCATTAATGGTTCAGGTTACTGATAAGCCAAAAGTTAACTGGAAGTCAGTTCTTCAAGTCGGTATATATATACATCTTGAGCTTCAAAGTCTTTTGTAACTATAAGGCTTAGCAGACCTCCAAGAGCAACCACCACTCATGAGCCACTCATGAGTCTCTGAAAACAAGCCTCTCTATCTCTCTCTCTCTCTCTCTCTCACGCACACAGAGTCCTCACATCAGCCAAAGGACATTCACGTGTCTGTGTACTCTGATTGCAAGAAAAGATAAAGAAAGGCCTCTTTAACTTCTTGTGCATCAGATCAGTAGACCGAGTGGTGTTTCTTCAGTCTCCATTTATCCGCACCACATTTTCCTGTGAAACTATCATTCTTTAATCCTCTCTCTCTCTCTCTCTCCGAACACCCATCCACCAAGAAAAACAAGAACCAACCATGAGTTTGAATGCGCCCATTTTCTTCATCGTGTCTCTCCTCTTCATCCACTCGCTCCCTTCACAAGTTGAACCAGCCAAGCCCAACGCCCACATCACAGTTATGGGCATGGTCTACTGTGACATCTGCTCCAACAACACCTTCTCTAGGCACAGCTACTTTCTACCAGGTACAAAACAAGCTTCGCTTCATTCACATCCTGCTCTTTCTTGCTTTTGCATCTTTGTTTCTGCCAGTCCAATGACAGGATCACCGTGCATTCTAGTGTTCAAGTCTTGTACATTTTAATGTCTTTATCGGCTATGCGTGTTAATGCAGACTCAATTCATCAGCCAGTCACATCACAAGTACTGCAAGTCATTCTATTAAATATTACAAGTGAAACCCAAATCGGAAGTACCGAAACAAAGGCAGTTACAAAACACCTTTAAAGGTCACTGCAAAAAGTTTAATTAAAATTGCAAGTTCTTGACACAAGACCCTTTTATTTGGTTGATCTGAAACAGGTGCAGAAGTGAAAATAGACTGCAAATTCGAGGCCGTGTCGCCGAAGACGACGGAGCAGATATCATTCTCAGTCAAGAGAACCACAAATAGGTATGGGGTGTACAAGCTGGAGATACCGACGGTGGACGGGATCGAGTGCGCTAGAGAGTCGGCCATTGTGTCTTCCTGCGAGGCAAGCTTGATGTGGAGCTCATCCAGTTCATGCAATGTGCCTGGTTACAGAACCACCACTGACCAAATTGCCATCAAGTCCAAGCAAGCCAATCTCTGCATCTACAGCCTAAATGCACTCAATTACAGGCCATCCAAAAGAGATATAGGCCTGTGTGGTGGGCGTTAAGAATACTCTGGGGCCTCATTATGTGGCCTTTTCTTGCATCCTTTTACCACCCACTTGCCACTCTCCCACAAATACTTTTGTCTTTTCCTTGGTATTATTGCAAGGCAAATCTTTAGCAAACAGCACCCACTTTACCGGAGGGACTTGTTGCATGCTAAACGTGGGCCCCCATATAATCAGTAGGTTTTCGGAGAACATGTTGTGAGAGTGACGTGAAGATGCACACTCCCAACAGTACCTGGTGATTGATTCCCCCTAGTCACTCATTGTCTCTCTATATGGTTTCTATTCAAGCTACATCGAGGTTTCTGTCTGTCCACATTAGGGAAAGAGAATCCACTGAAAATTTCAGGAGACGCATTACAGCAACTCATGTTTTATTCTGTTGTCTGCAATATATGTTATGGTGGTCCGAGACATACTAATACATGTCTGCATTCTTCATGTATGTTGAGCAGTTAATTTCCTGATCAGTTTAGCTAGACAGCTAATCCAACAGATAAATCTGTGCTTTGACTAGTGTATGCACACATGCTGCGAGAACGTGTTTCTTCTCCCTTTGTTTATTTTTTTACAATGCACAATGTCCCATTTTTCAGTTCCAAACAAGAATAAGATTGCCAATTAATTGATGATCGGAATGAAGCATGGTTAATTACAGACAATCAATGAACTCAGGGGAAGCTTAGCAGGGTAAAAACATAGCAATTTCCTCAAAGTTTGCATATAGATCTTTACATGGAAACTCTGAACAAGCTCTTTGAAAGATGGTAGCTTTTCATCCTTTTCTTTCTTCAAAGTTAACACAAACTTAGAGTCTAGACTAGGAATAAAAAAGATTCAGTGGAAACCAGTGAAGAGTTGCGAAATTCACTATAAGAGCGAGTGAGGTTAATTAACTTTTGTCTGCTAGTGCTAAGCTAGCCGAGGCTCCTCATGATTTAAATAAAGCATCGTTGAGGGTCAAAATAAAGGCTACCGGCTATATCAACAGACAATCAAATAAAATAAGAAACATAAAGAAAACATATAAATGAAATTCTATCTCTTACATGTCATGTTGGAAGGAGCAATGAACAGCTTAGTCTCAAACACTGATGCGAGCAGTATGTGTCATATCGTTTCTTTCCTTTCATCTTTGAAGGTTAAGGCATGGTGTCTTAGATGGTAGGTTGTTCCTTTTGTCAAAGAAATTCTAGATCAGTTTTACGTTCTTTGTTATGGTGTCATGATGAAAGTTCAGTTCTACAAAGATGGACGCCTGAAAGTCTTGAGCTTTGGCATTTACTTGTGCAAGGTCCTTGTTGATTGGTCTAAGAATTCTTTCATTTTAGGCCACATAAATTTCTTGACTAGGGTGTTCATCATCTGGAACGATTAATTTCGACAATATTTTTATCACATGAAGCGCAGCTTATAAACCACAGAACAGTGACTTTGTGCCCAGTCCTCACAGCCACAAACCATCTCTGGATTCCATTACCAGTCTATGCCAACAGCCAACATAATATTTTCTTAGAGATAACCGAACAACATAAGTAAGATCATACACATAATGAATTTTGAGATCATGGGATCCTGCACAGAAATAAATCACCAAGCAAGAGAGGTCTTCTTTATAACCGATGTCTAGAACTGCATCAGTTCTTCAAAGATCTTCATAGCATGAGAAGGCAAACCGAGAAGCACATTGATGCTTTTCCTCCCGCTCCCATGGGAAAGGAACAGAATCACTTCCTTCTCAGGCAATGCCACAGGCCCCGACAAGATGGGCTCGCCCCATCCAAAATCCGTGGTGTGAAAGGACAACCTTGACCAAGTTGTGATCAGGAGGGTGCAAGCCAAAGATGGCCTTGCTCTTGTTATCTCGAAGTAATCTATGGCCGATCTCATGTAACCATCTGTGACCATCTTGATTGCATCCTGAACTAGCCCAACTGCATATGAAAGGGGTTTCTCCAGAATTTCACCTGCTTCGCAAATGGAATTGGTGAGCACGATTCCATTTCCAAAGTACCCTTTTGGAAGAGGAGGTTCAAACTTAGGCCGCCCGTCCACCGCAAAGAGAAGCTTTGTCTGCTGATCAGGCAGCATGTCGAGTGCCTTAGTTCGAGCTCTCCATACAAATGCCGAGAGAGCTTCAAAAGTAGTGCACTTCTCAAGAACCCCATCTTTCATTGCTTTAGCCTTTAGCTTCTCGAGCTTCTCAGGATCAAAACAGAAAGAACTGTATCGCATTTCGTCCTTGTAGAGATCAGCCGTGTTTGACTTGTCTTCTATTTCGGCGAATTCCTGATGAAGGTTTTCCACCTTAGGAGGGTTCCTGGATTTTAGAATGGTTCTGTCATGGAAAGGTCGGGTTGTGAGAGGCAATCCTCTGGCTGTTTCACCCCACGAATTCACAAATTCCATAGCTCCAATCCCATCAAACATGCAATGATTCATGCACAGCCCTAGAACAAACCCTCCGCATTTGAATTTAGTCACCTGGCAAACACCAAAAAAGGGAAGCTTCAAGTTCTTCTCAATCATGCGATAAGTCCATACACTGATACAGGGAAATGTGAAAATATCTGTAACATGAGCTTCTCATTTAGTGATTTTGACGGATGAGGTCGGTAATAAGTGAGGTCATAGCAGAATAAACATGCTGGGATACTGTTTCTGCCAATATTTCTTCCTCTGTAGGGAGATGGCTAATTCTTGAGAGCCTTCAGGCATAAATAGTTGGAATATATTGCTAGGAGCCTAGGACTGTAATGACAGTTTCAACTTTTATCAAGTCTGAAATTCTTTAAGTGTTTCATGTAATTCAAAGGACCGCAAATATGTTAGCAAGGCAACATAATTTGTTTGTAGCAGATGATAAAGCAGAAGACGCAAAAGAAAAATTTTACGAACCTGAGCCACCAGCGGTGGCATCTCTAGTATATTCTTAGCACCTGGAACATCATAAACCAATTTCCCAAGCGTCTCAGGATCAGGCTTAGTTATGTCTCCAATCTCTTCCAGAGTACAATTTGCTTCGGCCTCGACAAAAAATGCTCCCTCTCCAGTGCAATCCACGATGAGCTTTCCCTCAGGGCTAATGGTCAAGCGCCCAGCAAGAGGGTAGTAATGCACAAGAACCTTTTTCAAGGCATCCTTGATCACTTCTCCGACTTGCTCATTGCCTTTCTCGATTGACTTGAAGCAATAAATTGTACGGATTATCACCGCAATGTTCTGGTCGAGGTTCGAGAGGAAGTACAGCCCCTTCTCTGTCTCTTCAGCAGGAGTTACTAGCGTCGGTTCGCCTTGTGTCACACAAAGTTGTAATACACTAGTACCATTAGAGTTCTCCATCAAAGTGGACGCGTCGGGCTTCGGGACCTAAAAGCACAATGCACAATTTACATATAATTATAGAGTGTGTATACGAAAGCAAGCATGATGAACTGAGTTGATGAAGAACTTTATATATATCTCTCGAGTAACTGATACAGCAATCATTGTCAAGATGAGACAAACCATTATGATAGGCTGAGTGAGCACAGACTAGCTTTCCGAGTTCTTCAGGGAGAATCCGCAATCTTCGCCTCGCAGCTTCTAGTACAAGAAATCTGATGATTAAGAACAAATGGATGGCATTAACTCCTGATGTCCGCCAGAATATGTGAGATGCTCTCTGCTCACTTGTCCTCCCTCTGTAGTGCGAAATATATAGGGAAAACAGTTGGCCTTACTGAGAATACATTTTGCCTCTTCAAGAAAATAAAATTTATGTGAAAGGGACAATTGTCCCTGTGTGATTGCAGCTTGAGCAGATCAGTTGTGGTTGGGTGGATGTCCTACGATAATTAAATCGAGGATGACCCAAGATCTGAGGTCTGAAACAAAGGTTCCTTTTTACAAATAATCATAGTTTTATTATTTGGTTAGAGTTGGCCACTGATCCTGGCACCAAACAAAACCACTCATAAGGAGTCTGAGGCTGGTTTGGTGGGGTTGGCATCCTGAATTTGCTTACCAAGGCCTAGCCATATTTTCATTACGACTGATCATTGAAGTTTGAATATTTCTTGCTGATTCAGTTATCATTGTCCTATAGCATCTTTTGTTGGTTGGCTTCCTAGCAGAGGATCACATAGGGAAAATTAAAGAGCAGGTCTTAATGCAGAAAACTTCCAAGAGACAGGCCGTAGATACGTAGGTATAGCAGAAATCTACCGATCATGCCAAAGATATCAACAAATTTTTCCTCAATCAACCGGGTTTAGGATACAAATTCAATTTGATCTGCTGCTATCTTATTCTGAATTAGGTCAACTTGGGATGGATCTTGACAGATGGCATAATTTAGCTGACGGGTATATCTAATTTGACCACGTCGTTACCATCTAGTTCCTCTTTTTACCTTGAATAGCCCTCAGATCTTGTTACGTGCTTCACCACATAGAGATGGAAAAGTACCTGGCAGTTGAAATGCCACGACAATTTTAACAGACCATTAACAGACCACGTGCGAGAAACGTATTATGTACGTCACATTTCATCGGGCGTTCGCATTGCTTCTTTGTTTACTTTATACGTTTCACGGGTAGATCCTAGCCCCGAACACCCCAGTTTGAAAAAGTGAAGACACCCTGCGAAAGTATAATTGTTCCATCCAGGCGGATGGCAAACCTTAGAGAGGTATTCTTTACTCAGCCAAAGTAAAAAATTAGGCATCATCACAATGACTTGAGGATGCATTCTGCCTGAATAAGGAAAAAGCATTTAAAACAGAAGCAAGTTTACCCACGACACACAGCATTCTGATATGAACGTCACTTAAACTGGGTTATTTCAATTTCTTCCTTGTTGTTAAGCGTATATATCTATATGGTATATACCAAAATATCACGTACATCTAAATGCCACCTAAATGAAAAATACAGCGCATGTTCGACTGCAAGCAAGCCCTTCCAACCAACTACATTTCAGCAGAGCAGGTGGATTTTCTTTAAAAAGTAACAGACAAACAAATATGTACAATCCCTGCAAGCCATTATCGAGAAGTCAGTTGGTAAGAATTCCCAGCACTGGCAAATACAAAACTGTATAGACAGCAAAGATGTAATTATAAGCCTTCCTATCTCATGTAAATATCTTCATCCTGTATGCCCCTTTTGGGTTGGGCACTAGAATTTGTTGGAATTACAGAATAGTGAACTTGATCTGCAGTGGCTGGGTATAGGGGCGAGTGGCTTGGTGATTCTTTTGTAGCAGCACATTCCTCTTAAATCCATCTTTTTCCACAAGGAATCAACCCATCAAATGGCGCCAGCAGAAAAGTGTACCAGCGAACTGCATCTAAAGGGTTATGCCTGCCCACACTTGCTCAGACAACGCATTCCTTCTTCCAGATACTCTTCTCTGCTAATCCAGAATTCAGGTGCATCCTTCACAACACAACGACAGCATAATTTTGACCTCAAATAACAATTGAAATGTCGAGAATTTTCCTTTTATTCTTATATCAGTTCCCCCCTCGCTTTCATTTATTCCTTTACTATTCCCTCACATTTTTCCCTTTTTTTCTCGGGTCGGGGTGCGGGGGGTGGGGCGGGGTTGAAAAACATAACACAGAAACCCAAGAGGAGGTTACCTTCATGATTCCTGCAAGTACAGCACCTCCCAGGTACACCATATGCTTTCTTCGTGGTGGATCCTCAATACGCAACCGCAATTTCTATCAAAACAACGAAAAATCTTTTAGGGAGTGAAGAAAAGGTCAATCTTCCATATGATGGTGATACTCTTATTGCTAGGCATCACTACGGACAAAAGCTTTTCAAATTTCAAGAAATGTATCACAAACAACTTATTATGTTATTCTGTAATATTTTGTTCTATCCATAAACATGAATGCTTAAGAGAACAATAATCCTTAATCAACTACCATTATCCACATAGCCTGGGAAGTAAACTAGCAAATGCAGATTTTATGACATTTAGTGCTGAAAGAACTCTAAGATTCTTATCCTCTTTTCTTGCAGTTCATATCCTAATTCTACAATGAGAGACGAAAGAAGAATCCTTTACGATGGTAGTAGATAGTAAGAGTTCCATGCTTTGATAAATCCCCTCAGAAAAGAAACTTCCTCAGGTGCTTGTTTTCTCAGTCAAGGTTCAAATTCATCTGGGACCTTAACATTTCTATAAATATGACAGCATGACCCATGATGAACAGCACTTACCTAAATATTGGTAATCACAAAATGGAAAGTCTCAATAGAAGACGAAAATTGAGCAAAATGATGGTCTTGAAGCTCTATGTTAAACAAAAGACTACCTTCAAGCCATCTTTATTTCCCTTGAGAACAACTTCCAGATACCGATCCAGTATTTCTTTCTCCAGACTGAAACAGAAAGCGAAACTTTATTAATTCAAACGTTAAAACAGAACAAACCTTTTGTAATTATATAGTCCTTGGAGATCACCCACAATATACAGAAATGAGTATTCACACAGGTTAGCCCCAGTAAAATGAGGGAAATCCTGGAGACTCTGTTTAATTCTGTGTCATGGATAGAATAAATCGTAAAGCACGAAACTTGTTAAGACCCTTTTTTCCATGGAATACGAATGCTCGAGCAAGCAATATCATTTATTAGATGGTAAAAAAAAAGCCTTCTTGTCAAAACCATTCTGAGGAACTCAAGATGGAAGATTTTGTTTGGAGGTGTGCATGGCAAAATTCATCAGAAGGAAAGGTGCACACTTTTCATATATATGTAACGATAATAATAGATCGTTAATCTTGGAGAAAGCCCAGGCTACAAAATCAAGATCAACCACTTAATTTCAGCACCATTAGCCTCATCTAGGCAATTGCCTGCACAGAAGTGTCGATACAATCCATCTCCTCTTTAAGGTGCATCTCTTGTGGGACTAATGCTAGAAGAAAAGATTGACTCTCTCTTTAGATAAATAAGTCTACAAAGGACATGATCATTGGAAAGCAAGTTATTTTCAGTATTTTTAGCAAAAAAAAAGTTATTTTCAATATTGGAATATTTGCTAAAGAAGTCCACAGCCTGAACATGAAGCTGTCCATTTATTCAAGGAAAGCACTTTATTTTCTTTTAATCATCATCTTGCCGCTCATTATCATATTTCAATTTGAAATAGGTGATGCCTCACTAGCTTCCACTGCTAGGATGCTGATAATTTTTCTCTCTTTGAAGACATGTTTGTAGGACAATAAGAAGAATGATCAATGAAATACAAGTGAGATGCACGAGAAAAAATTAAGAGAGACTACTATAGTCCAAAAAACTGTTGGCATTGCCGCATTGTCATGATTTGTCTCAAAACGGTAAAAGCTAATTACCGACTAGGTAATCCAGGATACATGGTGCTTCCTCCACTTAAGACAATGTGTTGGTAGAGCTGCAAATGAGGAAATAAATCTTAGCAGTGATGAACAAGATATATATGAGAAGTAAAAAAGAACAAATTTGGATCAAAATCATCAGTAACAAGCAAAAACTTTGCAACTGTGATAATTAGTTCAGTTAACTAGCATCTGATTGCTGAATATAGGCTACAAAGAGCATAGCATGGGAAATTCAGCATTATATTCTTCAGGAAGCTGGAAAAATCTTGTAAACAAATTGCCTAATCTTGCAGTATGAAAAGGCCCCTCATGAACTAACTAATGAGCATCGTCTAAATTATACTGCTTGTGAGGGAGAGTGTGCATGCCATGGATGTACAAGGAGTTAGAGAAAGCACAGACAGTACATAAATGATGCACATTACTCAGACTTACTATGTATAGTCACTAAATGGAACTAAAACAATGGCTTCATATTATTAATAATACTGCACTTATATTATTACTGCCCAATACCTAAATGACGTAAGCTACATTTTTTAGAGGTGTTTATTTCATTTTGCATACCAGCATACGATTATCAATGTCCATTTCCTGAATGCAGCGGAATACCATGTCAGCCATCCCATCACCTTCGACATCTATGAGTTCCTGCACCACTCAAAAGAAAAAAAGAGAACATATAATTTGGTGCAAAACTCATAAAATCTAATGAAGAATGATCAACGTCAAAGCACCATCTAATAAATTCCAAAGGAGCTATATTATTTGATTTCACATCCTCTAATGAACTCGCACTAACATGGGTACATTTGTCTCAGCTCATAAAAGTCCTTTCTACATTCCCTCTAAAATTTCAGAAAATGAAGAATAAATGTGGATATTTGACGTTCTAAAAAATTATGAATTGCTTTAACGTTACCCTTTGTATGTTTTGAAACATTGCAGGTGTTTGACATTGAAGTTTTAACAAATTAATATGTAGCTCACCTTTACTTCTCCTTTAGGACAATTATACAGTATGCAATGGTTTGGCTGTCTAGTTATGGACTAAGTTTTGTGGCTCAACTCTCAACAGCGAGAAGGTTGCATAATTAGACAAACCAGTAGCACAGTTGATGATTCAAAGATAAGGTCCTGTTTGCATAAGCATGCAAGTATGAGAAATGAATTAGCTAATGGGCTGTGAACCTACAAAACGCATGCATGCTGCCATAATTGAGAAGCTTAATATAATTAGTAACACCTTTGAAACCATTGCATGCTGACTACTATAATAGCTATGTGGATTCAAAATTTTCAGCTTGTTAAAGACTAGCAGGATGAGGTAAAACAAAAATATGCCAAAATATGCCTAGATGGTTCATTGACTCCAGCGTAAACCCTTAGCTGCCATAAACCATAGACATAACAGCCACTCCGCTGCTGAAGTACTTAAACGACCAATATTAGATTAAACTACCAGCCCAACCCACTAATCTATACCAAACGATTAGTTGAAGCCAATGGCTGCATTTCAGCAATGTAAGACCCCGGAATGTGGCTTTAACCACAAAAAAATAGCAGAAAGGGTGACCTTAAAAGAACATGAGGATTGTAAAAGTCTCAAGAGAATTGACTGCAGAGAGGGGTAGCGACTTACTGGGGTGAACAGAGCTTCTGGGGCTTGGAATCTTTCAGTGCCAACTTTAATAACCCTTCCATCTGGCAACTAAGCAGGATAGATTTACCAATAATTTGATGTCAAATTCCTACTAGCCTTAACTAGAAGCACAGTATCTAAAGCTCAAAATCACACCAAAAAACAAGCACTATAATATAAACAATTAAAACAGCTCATCGATCGAACATCTAGCTCGGTACCAAAAAACAGAACAAAGAGAAGCAAAAAAAATTGTCTAACTACACGAGATTGTAGAGCTGCTGAAGACCATCCCATGCAAGCATTTTAAATCAGGTGAGTGCATACAAATGGCAGCTCAATGGAATATTATATTGCCTGTATCATGACTTCTGCCGAGTAAGAATTCACTTACAGTGTAATGCTTAACGAGAATGGTAGTCTCAAGTCCCAGTTGGTACTCCCTCTTGTAATCATAACTGACACAAGTTTGACTATATCAAGCATGATAAAGCAACCCCACAAAATTCACCATATACTATAAGTGCTTTTTTAACCTTATGTAGCAAAGCTTCTCTTTAATTTCTCTGACAGTCTCAAAATCAGCAGTTCTATTCATTGCATACCTTCAGAAGAAAGTCGAAACACTCAATTAATGTCGAGCAGAGGGAAAGATGCAAAAAGACTTATAAATAATACTTGAATTGCCCTCACCCTCTCCGTGAAAGTAAATCAACTAGATAGGAAGTTATGTGCCGACCAGCTACGTTCATGCGTTTTGTAAGATGAGGGAATGAATAACCATCAACAACAGGAACCTGAAGAACATTTTTCAAGCAGAGATGCTTCAGTCCTGTAGTTATTCTCATATTCTACCTTTACATCTTTTACCTACACCTCGCTTCATGCTTCTCAAGCAGAATATTTAATCCAAAATGATTGAAAAATGTTCTATGATACAACAGAAGATTACCTGATTGCCTAGAATGCCCTCAAACATAACAGACTTAGTTTTTACAGCATATTTGACAGGCAAAAGAATCGGGAAATTTACAAAGACGAGACGTACATAAACCAACTCTTCTACATTAGATCATCCAACATATTGCCATTTTAGATAGTGTTAGCCATTTAGATATATCTACCTCGTTAAGCAAGAGGAAAGGTGAAGATGTAACAGATGCTGAAAATGGAGTAAAGATCAGCTACAAGGAAAGATAGGGTCATATCTGTACAAGATGAGTATGTGCCCACACTTGCACACTCACCGATGCATTTTCAATCCAAAAAGAGCTCACACTAGCAAGAGTACCTAAAAAAATCACAGAAAGTTCACGACAAAGAAATTGAACAAGTGTTCTCCAGTTGTTTACCACATGAGTGACGCCATCACCAGAGTCAATAACCAATCCAGTCAGCAAACCTGTGACCATTTGAGTTAACAAAAGAGGAATCTGCAGAAAGTATACTAAGCTTATCCTGAAAAAGCAGGACTATCGTGTAATGCATCAATAAGAATAATATCTGATCAGAGACAACCACTAGGTTTCACCTGTGGCATGTTCCTCCTGCAGTGACGATGGATTTTGCATGTCACTATTCATAATGCAGGTTGTGTTAATTAAAAAGAGATGCCTAATTGCTACTCAATATTTAGATCCTCATAAGAACCTTGAGCATACAATGTCAGCACAGCCTGAATTTGTATGAAGACACCAGCAAAGTTGTACTTCTCGAACATTGTCTCTACCTACAAAACCAAGTAAACCTGACGTCAACTCAGATGTAAGTACATACAGTGATAATAAGATGGGGAAGAGCGCGTGAAGAATACTAAAGTAATAAGACAGCACTAACCATTTTCTCACGATTCTTTGAGGGATTAAGAGGTGGATCGGTAAGTAATATCTTACATTCTGCAGGGTTTATCTGTAAATGAGACACACAAGTGGAAGTCGGAATTCATAGTTGTTATTGCACTAGGTGTAAATAATGGAGCTTAAGCATAGCATGGCAGTTAGCAGAAGCCAAGGAACATCAACCTTCAATTCGTTGTAAAATGTGTGATCCCAGACATGACCCATATCGTCCCAATTTTGCACAATGCCATTATTTACGGGATATGATATATCCAGTTGATTCCGCAAGTCAGCACATGCTTCTCCGACAATAATATCCTGGAAAACAATGAGAATATCCCATAAATGCACAAACTCCTTAAGAATACACATCATCCACCTAGCACAAATCCTTTCAGAAGATTCAGAGAATTGGAAAACACGTCAAAATGAACCTGTCACCACAGATGCGAGTAATTGCTAAAACAGTCAAGATTCATAAACCCCTTACGGCATCCTTTCTTCGCTAACATGGTTATACATAAATTGGTGAACTTTACCGAAAAGAAAACATTTTCACCTTCAGCTCTTGTTCTGTCAGCGACTCCTCGTACCGAAGCATAGGTCTTCCCACCATGCACGGGAACACGGACGTGGGGAAATTCTCTCCCGCGAAACCACACTTGACATACTGCACCAGACAAAAGTCAGCTTCTGTACTCAGTTCATGCGTCACCAAAGCGTGCCAAGGCTCCACCATCAACATCAATATCAACATCAACAGCAACAGCAACGGACAACAAATTGGAACAAACAGCGAAAGGGAGCTCAACCGAAGCAAAAATGCGTCAAAGGAAACCGGTTCTCTGTCCGGGATCGCGCCAGGACACGAATCTGAATCCGACAACCGGATCGCAGGAAACCCACTTGTCGAAGCCTCATCAAAACGAAACTAATCCATGAATTTCGCTTCGAGGGGTCGTATGATCAATCGGGTCGCGATCGGAACACCCAGATCAAAATGGAAGAGCGAGAGCCGCGCGTACAGCCACAGCGAGCGTAGCAACCGCGAGAAAGAGGGGAAGAAGAAGAAGAGGGGGAGGGAGGAGAAGGTTACCCCGGTGCCATTGTCGCAGACGACCACGTTGCGATTGTCCATGGATGCAGTCGAGCAGGTACGCAGAGAGAGAGAGAGAGAGTAATGGCTTCGAAGCTGAGCCTGTTGCTGCTTGAAGTTGCTGGTGACGATGACGGAGGTGGTTGTTCTTGGCTTCAATTACGGCGCGCATGAATACCATTATGTGCCCGGGCGCTATTCCTGAACAGAAATGATTTTTTTTGATTCTGTGCCCGGAAACAATTTCTGAGTATTTAAAGGCATTTGATAAATGTCCAAAATTTCTATTTCTAGAGTAGAAAAGAACAAAAATGCGTTTGGTAACTACACAAAATTTCTGTTCCCAAATAATATTTTAATAATATTTTGAATTGTTTAATTTTTTTTTTCTACTTTCTTCTTTGGCCATGGCCGTCGCCGCTGACCGGCCACGCCCGTGGCCGCGAGGGCATCACGGACCTCGCCGGCGGCCGGCGGAGGCGAGGGTCGCCCTCGCCAAGCAAGGAGCGAGGCCGGACCCTCGCCGCCGGGCGAGGCGGCCTCGCCCGAGACGGCCTCGCCCGGAGACGGCGAGGCTCGGCCTCGCCCGGATCTGGCGAGGCCGACCTCGCCGTCGCGACGGACGGCGAGGCTCGGCCTCGCTCGATCCGGGCGAGGTCGCCTCGCCCGGGCGGCGAGGTCCGGCCCTCGCCCTCGCCGCGAGGCGACCCTCGCCTCGCCGGCGGCCGGCGAGGGCCGTGACGCCCTCGCCGCCACTGGCTGATGGCGGTCGCGCCGGCCGCCGGAGAGCCGGCGGCAGGCGGCCGGCTCGGCCCGGGAAGAACAACACACAAAATAAGAAATGAAAAAAAGAAAAAAACCGATTCTCAAAATTGTCCGAGAAACAAGAAGCAACTTTTTTACTTCTTGTTTCTTTTCCAAAAGCTTTCTCGGCACAAATTTTTGCAAAAATGTGCCGAGGAACAAAAAGTTTACCAAACGCATTTCTGTTCCCAAACTATTTCTGGGAACAAAAGAACAGAAATTTTCACTATTTGGCACGTTACCAAACGGGCCCTTAGAAGAACTGAAGAAGGCTTTCCACTCAAAAAGAAAAAACAACTACAGTTTATAAATTTATTTTCTACTAATATAATTTTGTAGCTAATTTACAAATATTAAATAAGAAACGAAGCAATTAGTAATATCAGGTCGGCCCACCTGTATACAGTATATAATGTCGCGATGTTGTACGAGCAAATATATGTTACGTAATCATGTTATATAAAACACGGATACAGAGGTGTTATCGATGGAAAATATTTTGATTGAGTGTGATGTGTCTTTTTTTCTTTCTTTTTTCCTTTTAATGTTTTTTTTTTTTTCGGGCTGTGGCCGGCCACCGGCGATACCCAAAGAGAGCTGGACGAGACTTGGCCTTACCTGGGCAACCCTCACCAACCACGAGTAAGGGCGACCCTTGCCAAATCTGGCGAGGATTGTCTCACTCACGACCAGTAAGGACTTGGGCCGGCGGCCGGCGAGGGCTTCGCCTAGGACTCGATTTTGTGTTAAGTATTTTTTTTAAATAATATCTCTCCCATGTGACGTTAAGGTTCGCTAAAGTTCTAAAACGATGTCATTTTGACTAGGAACCTAATTTTTACAAAGAATCTTTAATTAAATTAGGTGAAAACATTCAATTTTTTTCATGAAAAAGACAAACTAAAAAAAAGACAAAAAAAGCTAAGACTTAAAAAAAACACGCAAAAAAAAAAACCAAGGCCCTCCGCTTGTGGCCGTTGCCCTCATTGCTGGTGGGGTGTCAGCCATGGCCGATGGGGTCCCTAGGGCCTCATCGGCTCTTGCCCAATTGTGACTGTCTCCTGAATCTGGGGAGGGCCGTCGGCCATGGCCGACTTTCCACCGGTGATGGGGTAGCATTTTTTAAAAATTTTAAAATTTTAATTTAAGTTGAATAAAAATGCCCTTAATTGGTTAGAATATTTAGTCTTTTGGCCCTAATTTGAAACTATCATGGTCAATTCAGACCCTTATTTGAAATAAGGGTCGACTTCAAACCTTTTTTTTCATAAAATGAGCGCACTTTATGGTCTTATTTAGAATATTTCCATAAGTGTTGCACAAACAGTAGGAAGCGTTGGCTTCAAATTATGTTTCTCCAAACTCTTTCCTGTTTCTTAACAAAGACTTGCCCTCGTGGAACGCTCGGGCAAAAACCCTTCACAGGGTTCTTGTTGCTCCTCGCCACTGCCGGGCAAGAGCTTGCAACTCCCACACATCTCCTCTCATGGTGATCTCTCTCTGTGTGTTTGTCGTTGAATCTTGTCAACTCTTTACAATTCAAACTTTTTTTTTGTTTCAGCAACTTTTAAAAGATCCATCTTGCAATGTTATTTTGCACTATGATTGATCAGATTGAGCTTCTTAGGCCGCGGACTAAATTCTATGCGCTTCTTTTTGTTTTGGCTAGAGCGCATGTTGATGTAACGACCCGTTTGAGAGCTGAGTCTAGTCTAAAACTGCATTAGGGTGATATTTGTGTTCATCAATTTTTTTTTTTTTGGTAACCGAGGTGTCCGGGCCAGCTTGCGCGGATCTCGACTATTCCTCGGGGGAGACTAGCACAGCAACCCACCGCCATGGCCCCCCACTTAAATCACAAGTGCTCAGCTGGGGAATCGAACCTGGAACCAGTGCGCCTAACCACACAATCCCAAGTACGCCCTAACCAACTGAACTACCCATGGTGGGTTGTGTTCATTATTTGATTCTCATTCTTGTCACATTTTTGCAATCTTGCTCATCTGAAGGCTCCTAAAAGAAGCGGGAAAGCTCCGGTGGCTGTGAAGAAGAAGCAGGTATTTGCATACGAGGCGTCCCGGTTATGTTTTGAGAGCTACTGTTTTCGCGCAACGTTCCCATCTTTTTTTTGCCAATTCTGTGGTTTTACAGGAGAAAGTTGTGAACCCTTTGTTCGAGAAGCGGCCGAAGCAATTTGGGATCGGCGGCACGCTCCCGCCGAAGAGGGATTTGACCCAGTTCGTGAAATTCCCTAAGACTGTTCAAATTCAGAGGAAGAGGAGGATTCTGAAGCAGAGGTTGAAGGTTCCACCGGCTTTGAACCAGTTCACCAAGACTTGACAAGAACCTGGGTATGGATTCTGTTCTTTTCTTGTGGTTGTTAATACAAGATATGTGGATGGCTAATGTCTTTCGAAGACCTGGCTTGTGGTTTTGTTTGAATGCGATCATTATCACTGCATGCATTTGTTCTAGGGTTGATCGTGTCTACCTGGATCCAAAATGCTGCATTAATATGTTTAGCTAACAATTTGAAGTTCATTTTGAGTTAAGTTTTGTGATGCGCACCAAAAGTTTCTTCATGAGGGATGAATGTCTCTTGCTGGTTCTTCACTTGTATCGTGGATTTGCTTGTGATACGAACTACTAAATGTAATGCCTAGCCAATGGATGGTAATGGTGGTTGCACTTTCAGTTCTCTTTGCATGGAACTCGCCATTCGTCGTGTTTGCTTTTACCTACACCAGTAATTTGATTCTTGAGTCAAATAGATGGAAAAATGTGAGTTCTGCATTTGATCTCGAATCAAATGGTTTGAAGCTTGTCTTGTAGATGTTTTCACTTAGTGCTTGAGCTCTACTTGCCAAGTTTTTGTAATCTGGTTGTTTTACATCTTGCTATTTTTCTTTTATTCTGTTTAGTCTTTCTGCTGATCACTGTTGGCAAGTGTGGCTGTGTTCGGTATTTGAGTTTGATTTGGTAGCTGATCCATTTGTCTCAAAATACAGCATTCTCTTAGAGTACATTTTCACCATTTGGTTTTGTTCTTCTTCTCTCTGTTTCAATTTTTGCTTTAGTGTGCATATATCTGCCATCTTGTTTCATTTTGTTCATGGAATTAATTCATCCATTTTAAATTGCTGCAGCGACAAACCTATGCAAGATGCTTCTCAAGTATAGGCCTGAGGATAAGGCAGCAAAGAAGGAGAGGCTCCTAAAAGAGGCTCAGGCTAAGGCAGAAGGGAAAACTTCTGAGGCCAGAAAACCAATCGTTGTGAAATATGGCCTTAATCATGTCACTTACCTTATTGAGCTGGTCCTCCAATTATTCGATCCATCAAATCGTTCTTTTCTTCATTTTCTTCTCTGATGCACCTCTCAACTATTCCTAAGTTGGGAGATGAATCTAACTCAAAGAAAATCCTTCCAGAACAAGGCACAATTGGTAGTTATCGCTCATGATGTGGACCCAATAGAGCTGGTTGTGTGGCTCCCGGCATTATGCAGGAAAATGGAAATTCCATACTGTATCGTGAAGGGCAAGGCCCGTTTGGGCACGGTAATTATACTATGATCTCATTGTCTAGTTTACAGATTTGGGAATCACCCATCTGTGTTAAATGAAAACTGTATCTTTGGCAGATTGTCCACGAGAAAACTGCCTCTGTTATGTGCCTGACAACTGTGAAAAATGAGGACAAGTTGGTGTTCAGCAAAATCCTGGAGGCTATTAAGGTATGAACTCCTGCCTCTCTAGAGTACATATGAAGATAATGCTCATAGCTCTCTCGATTACGAGTCATGCTGGTCATGCTTATCGTTCGCTCCCGCAGGCTAACTTCAATGACAAGTACGACGAGTACAGGAAAAAGTGGGGTGGTGGGATCATGGGCTCAAAATCCCAAGCCAAAACCAAGGCCAAAGAAAGGCTTCTTGCCAAGGAAGCTGCTCAGAGAATGAATTAGGGCTAAAGAAGAAAATTGCGCAGAACTGTCATCTACCTTAGACTTTATGGTGGGAAACTTGTTTCTTACTTTTATATGTCCTCGGATTTGGTATTGACTTCTAAATTAAGGTGTATTTGCAACTTCTTCCCTGGAACTCAACGGAAAATGAACGACATCCTCTTGGCACCTCTTTGGATTTGATTGGATTTATAAGTCTTCTGTTCGGTGGGAATTTGGTTGTACTAAAAATTTACTCTTTGAATGACGGTTCGTAACTTTCAAGAGTTTATAAATTTACCTCTTGTAAAATCTGACTTTTGATTTCTCACTAATTGGTTTTCGCATCTTCAAGGATATCCTGAATTTTCTTTATAGCTTTCAGATTCGGACTAAACTTGGAAAAGAAAACAGCTTTGCATCTCCCTAATTATTCATTTTCAGTGCATGATGAACACGATCTAACATAAGCAATTGCCTATAATGGCAAAAAGCTGCTGGAGATAGGCTAGTTGAAAACTTTAAATGGGAGAAACAAGTAGAGCATTGTAAAGTTGCATCAGTTAACATGTAACTAATGTCTCGATTGCTTGCTCTCAAAGCTGTTCCATCTAGAAGGTAACACAGATTGGCAAGTCCGAGAAATTATTTTAGTACCATATGCACAGTTTAAATAAAGTGCAAAAAGTACAAACTTCAACTTTCACTCTTCAAACATTCAGGAGCAAAATTGCCAGTCACTTTGTGACTTATGAGATGCTGGAACGAATCATGGTACGACGATAGCGAAGATAATAAAAACAAAAAATATCGCTACAGAGAGGTATTATTGACCGCCAGGCAATTCCTTCGCTTGCATTCTGTCAAGCCAGTTCAAGATTGGTTCCGATTTAGACGCAGAAGAAACTAGGAATACAAGTTCTGATGAAATACGATTCATCATCAGAGAAGAGTTTTCCCTAATCCATTTCATGTGTTCAAGGGCAAGTCTCGCCTCGTCCGCATCATTTAAGTATTTCAGGAAAGTGACATGGGAGTCTAAATTGCCCAAATCACAATTGAAACGTTGGAGCAACTTTGAAGCGGTAACAAAATCACCTGCATCAAGCATGTCAAGACATAGAACCAAGACATTATCTGTTGGTGCAATTATATAAGATCAAGAATACTCGAATCCAGTATTTACTGAGCTCGTCAAAACTTTACCTTTTCTGCAGAGACACAGGATGAATGCACTGAGGACACTACTGACAAGAGTTGGATCCTGTTCAATACACTTATCGAAAATATTAAAGGCAACTTCAAAGTTTGCTTCTTGACAAAGCCCTTGTATGAGAGATTTGTAGATTGAGGAATCTGGTTCCAACCCTTTCTCCAACATGTGGTAAAACAGCCTCCTCGCCTCTTCAACTTGCCCTATTTCAGAGAACTTCTTGATCAAGATAGTATATGTTCTAAAATCTCCAGAATACCCACTTGAAAACATCTCATCCCACAGCCTTTTTGCTGGACGTATAAGATCTTCCCGACAACATGCTTCCAGAACAGAATTATAGCCAACCACATCTGGGCCCAACCCTTTCTTCTTCATCACCTGAAGGATTCCATAAGCTTCTCTTACTTTTCCAGCCTTGCATAAAAATGAGACCATCACAGTGTAACTCTCCGCATCAGCAAAATAACCACCAGAATCCAAGACTTGATACACCTGCATCAGTACATCAGTTTGGTTGTGCTTGCATAAGTTCCTACACAAATTGCTCAATGTCAAAAGGGTCGGGAACTTTCCCTTCTTAATCATGAACCTAAAGAAGGCGATAGCTGATTGGGGATCATCAGCTGAGATTGTTCCGATCAATGCATTGAGGATATCATCCTCCAGGGGAAAGTCCCCACTAACGATGACTTCACCCAACTCTGAGGCTTCCTTCATTAGTCTTTCAGAAATCAGAGTAAATAAAAACTCTCTATAGTCATTCGCCCTCGGAGCTACTCCTAACTTCCGCTTCAACTTCAAAACTCTCTCTTTCTGCACCACATCACCCATTTCTCGAAAAGCTTCCGCAACAATTCTATACGCCATAAAATCAGGTTTGCAGCTTCTACTTCTCAGCTCGTCCAGCACCCAGAGAGCCTCTGATACCCTTGAAGCTTGACAAAGACCATGAACTACCAAAACGGCAATAACTGACCCGTTAATCCCTGCATTACGCATCCTAACTTCATCTAACGCGCTCAGAACCTCGGAAATTTCCCCATTACCACAAAACTTCCACAAGAACACGCCCAATCCCAGAGTGCTCAAACGAACAACCCGCTGCATCATTTCATCGAAAACCTTCCTTGCATTATCGATATGCCCATCAGACGCGAGAGCAGCCAGAAGCAAGTTACACACGTCGGGCCCAACGTCCCCAGCCAACGAACCAATCTCGCTGAAAACCAAAAACCCGTCGTGGGTCCTCTTGTTCCTGACGAAACAGGCGATGACGTGCCCGTAGGCCGAGGCGTCAAGGCTGATCCCGCGGGCCCTGACCCGCTTCAACAGGGCCTCGACGGCGTTGGACTGTCGGGAAGCGGAGAGGGACTTGAGGACCGAGCGGTACGCGAGGGGGTCGTGAGCGAAGCCGGGCTGCTGGGAAGCCCAGTCGAAGAAGCCGAGGGCGAGCGAGGGGTGGGGGATCAGGAAAGGGTCGATCACGCGGGCGACGAGCTGAGGGGTGAGGAGGTCGCGGCAGCCGAGACGGTGGAGAGCTTGCTCGAGCGAGGCCGTCCATGTGCGCGCCGGGATGGTGCGGTTGGAGGAGGCTGAAATGAGAGCTCTGCTGATTCTCGTCGCTAGTTCAGTGGCACTAGATTTCATGTTAGAAAACGATGATCGGCGTCCAGACAGACAAACCCAACTCTTCTTTCCCTCTTTCTCTAGAAGACATTATTCGATTTGAAACATAACTGCTCACAAGACGAACCAATGCCACGGACCTACAAAATGTCAAGTGCATTATTCCGAGGCTAAAGAGCGATTAGTAGATTCGAACATGTGAGCGAGGAGATACTAAATCACTCGGGAGTGAGCCCTACATCACTAAACCAACCACCGAGGCGATGGAAACTTTTCTAATCTCATTATTGAAATTGTGTCAAGCTATAATCAAAATTTGTGCTTGAGGAAGCTTTTGTTACTACGTTGTCAGCTACGTGAAATTGAAAAGATGTGATATAAAATGTTATGTGGGATTTTTTTTCCGCAAAAAACAGAATGACTTAATGGAAGTTCTATAACGAATTAGATTACGAGTTTTAAGACTTCAATGCATGAGAAAAAAACTTTAAATTTTAAGTGCATAACATGGTAAAGATGAGACTTGATAAGAAAGCTCTTAGCAGCAAATGCCCGCCAGCCAAGGACTTGAGATCGAGCTGACGGAAAATCAGGTTTGCCCGGCAACTGCTTGGGTCATGTCATTGACAAAGTCCAGGCGTCGAGGACTCGAGTCGGGTTGTCACGGAACTATTTCTGACATTGGATGATCCAGCCGGTCTCGAGTTGTCACGGAACCATCTCTGACATTGGATGATCCAGCCGGTGGGCGCCAACGGCAGCGGCAGTTTGGTCGATGATGGTGTTGGAGGTGGAAGTACGTTCCAGTTTGTTCTCCATTCGAATATAAATTTTCGTCCATCACAAATCCTTGTCGTGTCATTCCTCAAGAGTGCAGCTAAATAGAAATGACCAAGAACTAAACATGAGATGACACATAAAAGCTGAAAATATGGGGGCTTATACATAATATTCACAGCCTATCTCATTGATCTATCAATACTTTTCACAGCTTTGTACACAGAAGAGTAACATCACCCTGTACACTATCTACTTACAGGAAGTAAAGATTTACAAAAGAAACCATCATTAAAGTACAGATGGTGGTCTTCGGATTCTTCTATCTAAAGTCCAATGGCAGAGAGCTATACCCCCATCATCACTTGGTCCCGATGTACTGCTAATTATTTACAGCAGATGTAATTTTCCGTGTATGTTTGGAGGGGTTGAAATGCTTGATCTTCTATACAGTGTCTACTTACAGGATCACGTGCTGAGCCGTTCATGAGGCCAATCTAACCAACTAGAAGTTCTGGAAGTTCCTTGTTCTGAAGAAGTTGCCGAAGAGGAAACCGACAGTAGTTCCTTGAGGCTGTTTAGGCGACAGAAGCGAATTGTGTTTCACCTGCAACACAGACGGTCCAATTTGACGACGGATCGAATCGATGATCTTGAGGTCCACAGGGCTACCCGTGACATCAGATACGAAAAACGTGTCTTTGGCTTTCCCGTCTTTAGTTGAAATCTCGGCTCTTTTAATGCACAAACCATTCTCCCGGAATACCCTAGTGATATCGGAGAGGAGTCCAACCCGGTCTTCGGCACACAATTCCAGTTCCAAACCCTACAAAAAGGCGTTTTCTCAGTTCACCGCTACCAAGCAACAAAAGATGAATATTTCTTCCAGTAAAGGTTGAAAGTACCTCAGATGCCCGCCTTTCAATAGCTGCTTCAAGACATTGTGTGATCCTTTCTCGTTCAGCTTCTGAGCCTATGGGGAGTCCATCGACATGTCGGATGTAGAATTCCTTCAACCATATGGATTTAACTTCAGTTAACATAGAAGAGATGCATTCGATAGGCAAATAGCTGACAAAGTTGAAACTTTGAGAGAAATGTCAATTTACTAACTCAAAGACCTACTCGCTGTGTACTCCTCCAAAAATGCAAAAGCAATGGGAAAAAGGAATGCCTGGATGTATGAATTCACCTGATAAGCTTCTTTCCTCCCGGTATTGACCATTCCATGAAAGACTACATACTGCATGTCTGTCAATGTGCAAACAATATCAAACAGTAGTTTTGGTCGATCTTTAGACCTCATGGTCACAATGGTATAATCTCTCTCGTAACAATCCATCACTGTTACAAAGGGTCTTGTGCTCTTATCATGCATCCTCCCAATCTCTTCTTTACCAACCCTTTCATAGTCTCTGTCCGCAAACATAATCTGATGTAACCTCCTCTCCCTGTTAGTCACCCCAGGCGGTGAAAGTGTCATCTTGGCCGTGTTAACATCACCATCTGCTCTAAGAACATTGCAAAGAAGGTCCCTTATTGTAGCGAGACGATTCGGATCTTTGATAGCATGCCCCGTGGTATCATCAGTGACATGAACAACAGCTGCGGCCCTAGCATTGTGTGTCCATATTTCAGCGTTTACTACATTGCAGTGAAGGTCCGCAAGAACAGCACACACTTCGGACAACAGACCAGGCCGGTCGGTACCAGAGAGTTCGATTGAGGTGTACTCATTAGAGGGCATAAACCCTACAGACTCTCTAAACGAGGGGGAAAAGCTTGCATTGCTTTCGAGTCTCTGCAAATTTTATATCAAACTTAATAATAAGCCATTAAACGTATTATCATACATAAGAACTCCTTATGACAAATAAATGTGAATTATTCAAGCTTTAAGGAAGCACAGAGGTATTCCAGCATTTACAACGGGACAGAAAACAGTGAACATATGACAATCGTCATAACATTTGCAATTTTCTTTCCTGACAAAAGAAGAATGAATGAGCTCATACAAATCTCTCATGCTTTAACTGGCAAATTTCCAGATTCAACTCACATGTATGTATCACTTTGATAGCCCAGACAAACAATGGAAACAAGTAGATTGGCCAGAAAGATGGAGAAAGACAAGCAAAAATCCAGAGAAAGTCCAAGAGCAACAAATGAAGTATCCGTCACTAACCCGGATCCACCTAATTTTTGTCCACTCCTACAACTTAAAAAGCATTTACCACATATTTTTGCTTAACTATTTAGAAGTATTCTTCATGAGAGAGGAAATGACATGACCAACACCAGGACAAATAACCTTTTGGACAACAAACACATTCTAAAAATTTTCTTACATCTCACCAGGAGGATGGTTGGGGATGAAGGACAAAAGGAGAAGCACAAAGAATTGGGTACACTGCGAACTTACCCTCTTAATATATTCGATGACTTCCTTCTCCTTGATTTTCTGCCCGTCGCAATCAATCACATTAAAAACTGAAGTGTTGAAGAGGGGGAAAAATGAGAAACTGGGTGGAATACTGTAAACTTTATTTCAAATCATCAAGTAGCAAAGAAAGACTCACCATCCATGAACCATCCTCCATCAGATGATATATTAGCTTTAGTAATTGTGAGATTCATATCTATGAGCACTTGGACAACTTCTAGGAGAATCCCATGTTTGTTGACACTGCCAACCTGATGTAGATGAAAAGTGACAAATTAGGAAACTTTGAATCCAATATTCATTCATATTTTGAAACACGAAATGAATCAACATTGACCAACCTTATTTTATCTCATCTAAAATTACGGCCGAACGAAAATAAAAAATGAAAGAACAAGCCGCACCTGTATCACAGTGGCATCCTCGCAAGACTTGTTGTCGATAACAACTCTGCATTACAAGAGCAGCAATTAGATGAAACAGATACATGATCAAGGAGAAGAAAAATCACATGTGGGATGTCATAGCGGTTATGCAAAAATGTACAAAAGTTTGAATACGCAGCAAGCATGATTCAAGACCTCCTTGTGTCCAACTAAATTGACAGTTACCGTAATAATTGCTCATCTAAGACCGAGAAACAAGTACTAATTTACAGAACTACATCACAAATCAAACTCGATGAAAGACAAAATCAAACATCAAACGGTAATCTTGGCATGGCTTCCAACTGATGACTCCTACACAAGATCAAGCATCGCCTGAACTGAACTTCCACCCGCTCGTAAGTTATATAACTTAGCCGAAGCCACTCCAATTAAGTCGATAAACCCAACAACCCTTAAAGGCCCGGCCTTCTTGTTCAAGCTCCGAAGGACAACGGAACCCAGAAGAGCGGGGGGGGAGGGAGGGGCAAAAGCAAGAATTAAACTTCAAAGCAGCGGAACACCCCAAGAACTTCCACACAAAACACTCAAAGCACCCAGAAGAGAAGCCCCCTAAAACCGATCGGAACGGGAAAACCAGACACGACCCTCTCCACCGTACACAATCAGAAACAGCACGGACAGAGAGACACGTGACTTCGACACCCTCGTCCAAGAGCTCGCCCAAACAGAGATACCCAGAATAGAGATTTTTCCCCGCACCTGGGGGGGTTCATTCGTCTGATGAGCTTGGCATACTCATCGTCCATCCCGCGGTTCACTGCTTCTTGTTCCTCCGGAGGGAAGCGGCCCCGAGAGACCAAAGCGAAGTGGAGGAGGGAGTGAACAGGGGAGAGGGGGCAACGCAGGGGAGGAGGAGGAGAATATATTCACAGGGGGGGGAGAGAGGAAGAGAGAATAATGGGGGTGGGGGGAGAGAGTGTTGTGCTGGTGGCGTTGCTCTGGTTTTGGCGACGATGCCTTCTCCAACATCCAAGGAATAACACCCCCCCACAGACAGAGAGAGAGAGAGACGGGGACGACGTAGTGCCAGCCGTTTTTTAACTGAACCTTTACTCAAGAAGGTTAGCAATTTTTATTTTTTTTTTGGTATTCAATAATAATAAAAACTTGTCTAAAATCAAGATTTTGAATATTTTTGTGGGACCGATTTCGCAGAATTAAGGGATAATGACATAAACGGTCCCTGAATTGTAGCTCAATGTGCAATTTGATTCCCGGACTTTAAACTTTTTTGAATGTAGCCCTTGAACTTTAACCTGATGTTCAATGTGGTTCCTAAACTTTCTTGACTTTTGGTATATATATTCAATGTAGTCCTTGGACTATATGAAAATGTTCAATGTAATCCCTGAACTTGAATTAATGGAATGCCTATTTTGAACATTTTCATATAACTCGGTGATTAGATTGAACATGTACTAAAAGTTCGGGGATGACATTGAATAGATTAAAAGTTCAGGGATCACATTACACATTAGGTTAAAGTTTATGGATCATATTGAACAGATTAAAAGTTTAGGGATCAAATTACGCATTGAGCCAAAGTTCAGGGACTATTTGTGTTATTTTCCTTGCAATTAAAACCGACACAATTATTTGTCTAACTCGATTACTACAAGAGCTTTAATATGTCAGCATTAGAGACTACGGGACCTCTTTAAAAAGTAGACTTTTATAAGTTGAAGGATTTCATTGAAGAAAACTTATAAGTCCGAAGACCGCTACATAAGTTTAGGACCACGTATGTGTACTATTTCGAAAAAAAGCCCCTTTCTTTTTCGCCATTTGCATGAACACACTCAACTTCGAGCGCAACAATACACGAACCGTCACCGATTCCTCGAGGCCACCGGTCGAAGCTCATCGCCAACGACGAAGAAGGAAGCCCGTGATCAGGCGAAATGAATGCGAGAAATCGAACTCGAGACGTCGAGTTATTGATATCAAGTAAAAATTCCAATACATATATGCACCTTGGTGCGTGCACTAAATTTCTTGAGCAAGCTACGAAGGTGGAAAAATTGCGCAGCACCATCAAAGATTTAGGAGCGCCAAATGGTCCGACAAAGAACGACATGAATGTTGGAGAAGGTACCATGAGTCCCACGTGATCCTCATCAAAACCTGTAACAAGAATTTGCTGAGGAAGTTTTACTTTTACTTCCAAAATCTTAAAATTGAAAAGACTAGTTTATTGTAAAATTATACCAAGAAACAATAATTTCACGTACCATTTTGAGAAATTTCGACTATTAGCTAATTGGCAGAAGTAGGGTCCTCAGCATTTTCCATGTATTTATTTTTTCTACTTCGCATTTTCTTTTCTTTTTTTCTTCTTCTACTTCTTTACTTTATTTGGGTACGGTCCAGGTGAGTGGGAACCGGAAACCGGAATTGCCTGTATCCTATCCCAGAGGCACGGGGATGCCAAGGCCACGTGATGTTATCGGTGACATGGCACGGACAAGTGTCTCCGCATTTTGGCGGGGTGGAGGTAGGCAATTTTTGGCCGACAAATGGTTTAGCATGAAGGTTCTGGTTTTCCCACCCAACCACCTTAATGATTAAGGCTCTCAATTCACGTTACAAGCTACGATTTAGGGGTGATCGATTATAGGATGGATTGATTTCCTCCATGAAACCTAGAATCGGACCGGGCAAGAATAGTTCTTAATTTGTGAAACTGGAAACCAGCCCAATCGGTCCTGGTCCGGTTTGAAATCTTTTTAATCGGGAACCGGACAGATCCCCGTCGGTTCTCGGGTTGAACCGGGACTGATGCACACTCCCACTATAATTGCCCTCTTAACATTTTTTACCCTCTGATCTTTGGCTCCTGTTCGCATCGAGCTCGTTCGAGCCCAACGCATTTCAGCCCTTGATCTCGATTTTTACCTAGGATTTTTGCACGCATCCTTTAATGATCAAAATTAGTACCCAATAAGCATATATCTCTAGACTTGTGAGACTTGGCAAGCGAGCTTCTAGAACATTTTCCAAGGGTCTTGACGTTCTTGGCGCGACCTGCATTCAAGTCTACATCCCCAGTGTCCGAACTCGTTCGATTTCGTTATGGTTCAGGCACGCGACGTATGTGAGAGTACAAATATCCGTACCGGAATCATGCAAATGCACATTCAGCAGCAGTTCTCATAAACAAACGAGCCGAGAGCGATGTCGCGTACATTCCAACCGAATCACAGAATCGATACGCCAAGCGACGTAGCCCCGTTCACAATCGGACATCCGAACAAACAAGCCGAAATCGACAGTGCCGATGACAATCTGATCCCGAAACATTTCGATCACGACTACCGGGCCGAAAACTTTTGCCCACGGTACAACGTCCACCACCGTCCTAGCAAAACCTACCGATGATGGTTAACCTAGGTTGGGGGGGAAGGAAAGATGTTGAAATCACTTGGCGAAGCAAAAATCGAGAAGATCTTCCTCTTTGGCCTTTCTCACGACACGTCCCGATCAATCATCTAATCCATGACCAACCCACTTTTCGAGCACCCCTTGCTCGTGCGGTCGTCGAAATCGCGGTCAGACCAACCAACACCTAAAATCGCCTACTAATCTTTTGCATTGGACAACGCCTTTTTGAAGGATAGGTCGCTATGGTGTCGAAGAGGACTTTGATCACGATGAACACGCGGCGGCGATCATTATTTGTGTTTATGAAGTGGACGTTTCGTGGTCTTTGTCTCTAGATTTCTTCTTTCTTGATTCGTAATCGTATGTTGTGAGATATGGCTAAAGGGGGGAAAATTCATGCTTCTTTGATGCCGGGCATGATTGTCAAAAAAAAAAAAGAAAAAGAGTTTTAGATATATTGCACGGCAGTCAATCTGGTCATAAACCTTTCAATTGTGCCGATTTAATCGTAAAACTTTTGATTATTTGACAATTTAGTCATAAACTTTTTAACGATTTGCTCCTTTCGATCAATTTTGACAGAAAATCGTTGACGTGAACTCTGGCCGGCTTTCACCCATTTTGCATGGCATGACCGGCATTGACAAGGGTAATTTTTGCAATTTTTTAAAAATTTTTTCCTTTCTATTTTTTCATTTTCTTTCCCTTATGCTTGTGGCCGGTGACCCTCGCCCGGATCATAAAGAAAATGTATAAGTATGAGAAAAGATCCACTCCAAGCGGGATTTCATACAAATCTCGTTTTAGATTGGTCCTTGGATATGGTCGTGTGAATGTATAGCTCCTTCCATGGATCCCTCTAGCCGGGAATCGAATATAGCCAACGATTGTGATCACCAAAGTAATTCCTACATTTCGTTCCCCTCGAATTGCAAAATTTTCTTAAATAAATTTCGTCGGCCTTAAGTCTGCGTCACTGTTTTTAAGCAAAGGCATTCTTGCGCGAGCTTCGTACCTTGTATTAGATCGATGGACCAAGGTAAGCCTACCAAGTTTCGAAACCGCCAAGCTCTTTTCATCAGCTTCTAAGTTAGCTGCCATCTTCCTCGTCACCTACTCTTTTCGTTGGGTCGTCTTCAAGGTCAAGGACTCGCACACTCCTCGTTGTCTGCAACGAATGACTTAGATATCAAGTGGTCAGCGCCTAAAAAAGGCAATGAAGGATATCAGACGTGCGTGATGAAAAGAAGAAGAAGAGAATTTCAAAGCAGAAAAAGAGAGCGAACATAAGATGAAAGGAAAAAGCACAAAAAAAGTCCTCAAATCATTATATCATATCAATTAAGTCCTAATCCACGTCAACGATTTTCGGTTAAAATTGATCGGATAAACTGAATTGGTACAAATGTGAAAAGTTTAACGACTAAATTGGTCCGATTGAAAGATTTGAGACTGAATTAGTACCAACCAATATGTTTAGGACTTTTTTGGTACTTTTTCCCTTGAATAATAGCATAAAGTGACAGTACTTGAACGGTCTCAAGCGCGATGTCTCCCGTTCACGATAACTTAGAGATCACGCTTGTCATCTCATGGATGGTTTCTTAATCGAGGCACCCGAAACGGGACGATGTGTTACCCCTAGGCACGGGAATTCCGATGCCCGACATCGTAAAAAAAACGATAAATTAGAAAAATAATTCTGGGATTGGTCAATGTACAGAGGGAGGGAGGGCAAATAGGGTAATCTCCTATTCTCATGGGAGTGGATAAGGAATAGGAGCGACAAAGTTCCTTCTCATCATGAGTAGACTTCCAAGCAAAGCAAAGCAAACATCCAGAGAACTGTGAATAGTGAATACAAAAACCTGGACAGAGAGGAAAGTCTACAACTAGCTTATCCTTTTCGTTTAGAGGGATTAGGAGACGAGGCCGGTGACAACTACAAGAGTGACACCCAGGCCAGGAACGTGGAGCTTTTCCAGCAACACCCATAGTCTATTTTGTCTTTGCCTTGCTCTGGATTTTGCATACCAAATTGAGCGTGTTTGTTCCACGATCGAAAAATGAATGGTTCGAAAATTTTTTTCTTAAAAATGATCGTTCGAAATTAGTTAGTCAATTAAAGATGCTCGTTATCAATAACAATTTTTGTTTAAGCATTATTTTTAGGAAAGCGTTTTTCGAAAATATTCATTTTCCTCGAAACAAACGAGACCTAAGCGTCCCATCCAAAACCCAATAACTTCGGGATCAGGGTCTCCCTGGTACTCTGGAACAACTTGCGCTTGTGGAAACTACTTACTTAATCTGAAAAAAGCACAAATTCTTCGTTTTAGTCAGGTTAATCTGAAAATTTTGTTTAGCTATATTCCCAAGATTTGGCTCCTCATAAGCTCACCCCTTGGGCCCACCTTCAAAACGACGGATCGCTGACCAAAACGAACTTATTGCTAAGGGTGAGCATACCATATCATCGATCGCCGGAGTCTCGACGATAATTTTTCCTCAAGGGTCTGCTATTTTCTAATGTATGGATCGAATCGAGTACGTGCATGCTCAGGAATAATATTATGCAACTTTTATGCAGGATATCTATAAAACATTTTGGGACAAGTGCACTACAAGTCCTAAAACTTGTCACAAAAATGCGTTTGAGTCCTAAAACTTGCAAAAAGTTCAATCGAGTCCTAAAACTTGTAAGAAAAGTGCATTTGAGTCCTAAAGTTAACACCGTTAAGTTTATTAACGGAAAACGCTGATGTGGCGCTGACGTGGCGCTTATTAATCATTTCTCTCTCCTACGTGGAAAATGGTTTAAGCAAAAATGTCCACGTATGCAAAACGACGTCGTTTTTGGACGTCCCCCTTTCTTCTTGAACGTCTCTCTTTCCTTTCCCCTACGTCGTCTCCTTCGTCTCCTTCCTTCTTCCTTCTGAACGTCTCTCTGAATCGTATGCTCCGATTCAACCTCTGCCGGAACAACATCTCTTCTTCTTCTTCTTCTCAAATCGATGTCCTCTGAACCCTAAGCCCAGACTCGTCGTCGTCCTTCTCTCCTCTAAACGAAATTAACATTTGGTCTCCCTTTGAACCCTAAGCCCCAAATCAAGTTCGACGATCTCGAGTTCCCTCGTGATTTGGGTCTCCATGCGAGTTGGAGTTCGACGCCCATCGTCATTTGGAGTTTAATCGTGATCTGAAGTTCGTAGAGTTCGAGTTCGAGTTCGAGTTCTCTTCTTCGTCGATAGCGAGTTCGTGCGAAGACCTGTCCTGCGGGAGTCTCGAAGGCGGATCGAGTGGCTTTGATGACGGAGACGGCGACGGCGACGGGGACTCCTCTCACAGGTATCGCTCTCTGCATTATAGCATGTTGGTATCGAGCGACGTGTGTTTCTATTCCAGTTCGTTCAGGACCTGTGTGTTCGGAGCGATTCGATTTGCGTTGCGATTGCGATGAGGTAGGGTAAGGTAGGATGGCTGTTTGCCCGAAGGCGCTCTCAAGTCGATGCACAATCAACTATTAGTAGTCATCCTCCGTCCTCATTATAATGCTTAAACCTCTACCGAAGAGCATGATGAGTCAACTGAGAGTGATGGAAACTCAAAGTGTTGTTTCCGGTATCTTCATGATTGATTCAGCAGGCATGGGTTAGATTTTCCATTGATTGTAGAAGTTTAGGTTACCTGGGATCAGTAGACATAAATTCAACTCCGGAGTGTGCTGATGTACGCACCCTTCTCGTAGTAGCCAAATCATGCTATCCTATTTCGGAATGTGAATCAGCTACTTCTCCATTGGTCATTGCAAGTTTAGAAAACTTTGTGCAGAATGTGTTCTTCATCATCTGATTCGGTCATCGGTCTTGCTCCAAATATTTTATCTCTGCACTATTTTTTTTTTACTTTTCACATGTTCATTATTTTTGCAAGATTCTTTTCTGCTATGAAGTTCTTCTTCAAGCTAGAAAGTACAAAAATAAACAAGCACAATTATGGTTTGAACACAAAGATGATGTTCTTACAACCTTTACCAAATGACTCTATGAATCGAAGGATGATATTTATGTCGCTCCCATTTCACGGGAGGAATTCCTAGACTGGAAAATTTTTGTATCGTAGCTTAAAACCTTTAATGAGATGTATCAAAGCTACAGATTGCCTATCTTTTCATTCCATTCCACACAGCCACACCTTTTCTCATTTGTTTTTCTGCTCTTTTCTCTCTTAGAGCATTTATTTGTGCGGTTAAATCATCAATATTTTTCTTCTGCTCAGTTAAGTTTACTCTTTGTTTTTGTTCCCTTGTAGGTCTAATGGCCGAGAACAAAGTTTATGTCACTGTTTTCTTTGGAGGTAAGTTTCAAGTTGGACCGCCATTGGAATACGTAGGTGGAAGGGTTGATGTTGTCGAAATAGGCTTAAATAATGGTTTACTATCTAATATAATTGAAGCTATTGAGGCTTTGGGTGTGCGTGAAATAGAGAAACTCTTTTACAGAGTTCCTGGAAGTGCGACTCCTAAAGACAGGCTAACTCTTAGGTATTTATGGGATAACTCTGATGTGATAGATCTATTTTATCATCATCTGCGTTCTAAAAATATTGACCTATATGTTGAGCATGTTGATGATGAAGAGACGGGAGCTGAGATGGAAATTGGAGGTTTGTATAATGTGATTGGGAATATTGATGATGACGGGAATCAGCTTGAGGTTGCTAATAGGGATCTGGATGAGGGGGAGGATGATGATGCATGTAATTTAGTGGATGTGGAACAATCGAGTGACGGTGATGATTTTGAACTGGTTGATGCAAGGAGAAAATTAAAGGAATTTTCAGCGAGACATAGGCTACAAAGTGGCGCTTATAGTGAGGTAGCTGGTACTTCCCAAACACCGGTTGTGGATGAGGCTCAGTTGGTAGATGCTTCTGGGTACGAAACAGAGTACCGTTATTCAGATGATGAAGAAAGTCTTCAATCAGGTTTGAATGATAAGGGCGATGAGGAGGTTGAAGTTGCTATTTCAAGGAGGAGAAGTAGGTTCCCATCATATGAACAAAATGGTACAAATCTGGTATTTATTGTCGGCATGACATTCGAGGATGCAGCTGAATTTAAAGATGCAATTTTGAGGTATTCTGTGGCTGAGCAAAGAGCAATCAAATACACCAAGAACACAAAAAAATTTGTAAGAGCCAGGTGTGCCCAGACAAATTGTAATTGGATGATTTATGGTGCTCTTGATAGCAAGACAGGGTCATTTCATTTGAAAAAATATATAGATGAGCATATATGTAGTATCACTTTCGAGAATAAGAGAGTGTCTAGTGCTTACTTAGCTAAACACTTCATGATTCTCATTTCTGCAATGCCTAAAATCAATGCACCTGAGTTGAAGAAATTAGTTAGAGAACAGCTGGGAGTAAATGTCACTTTGAGTCAGTGTAGGAGAACAAAGCTAAAAGTATTGAAGGAATTGCAAGGCAATTATAAGGAGGAGTATGCACAGATGTATGACTACTTGGGGGAGCTTTACACCACAAGTCCTGCAAGCAATTTAAAGATGAAAGTTGAAAGGCCACTGTCAGATTCTCTACCATTATTTGATAGGGCTTACTTTTGCTTTGATGCCTGCAGGAAAGGTTTTTTGGCTGGATGTAGGAAGATAATTGGATTAGATGGATGTTTCTTGAGGGGTTTGATCAAGGGTGAGTTATTGTGTGCCGTAGGGAGGGATGCCAACAACCAAATGTATCCAGTGGCATGGGCAATGATAAGAATCGAGAATAAGGACACATGGACTTGGTTTATCGAATTGTTGAAATCAGACCTTGATATGTGTAATGGCAATGGTTGGACTTTGATAAGTGACCAACAAAAGGTATGCAATGCATCTTTATGACTCATTTGGAAATCGATTGCAACATTGTATGCAATGCTTATCAATATTAATGTTTTGCTTTTGCTTTTGTTTTTTTTTTATATATTTGTCAGGGTCTCGTCCCTTCCGTAGCTGAACTTTTGCCAAATGCAGAACATAGGATGTGTGCAAGGCACATATATTCCAATTGGGGACAAAAATACAACGGAAAACAGTTGATGAGACAATTTTGGAAATGTGCTAAGAGTACTAATATGTCAGATTTTGAGGTTCATAGACAAAGATTGAAAGAAATGACTCACCAAGGTCAAGACGATCTATTCCGTACCGAGCCAAAAGACTGGTGCAAAGCCTTCTTTGACACCAAAATTAAATGTGATGTTATTGATAATAATCTCAGTGAAGCTTTCAACGGGAGGTGCGTGGAAGCTAGGTGCAAGGCCATTTTGAGCATGCTGGAGGATATTAGAATCATGGTTATGAATAGAATGCACACTCAGAGGGATGGATGTGCCAGGTGGACTAGAAATTATGGTCCAAGGATTGCGCATAAGTTACATCAGAATACAACTGCTAGTAGGTATTGTCATTTGATATGGAATGGAGATGAAGGATATGAGATTATGGAAGGTGGTGACAAATATGTTGTTGACTTCAATTTGAAGACTTGTTCTTGTCGAGCTTGGGAACTTAGTGGAATTCCATGTTGTCATGCCATTTGTGCGATACACCACAAGAGAAATGATCCGAGCGACTACCTAGCTGAGTGCTTCTACAAGGTAAAGTATCTAAGTGCTTATCAATTCATGATGCCTACGGTGAGAGGACAGAAATTTTGGGAGAAAACGCTGAAAGAAGCTCCTCAACCCCCACCGATGAAGAAGATGCCCGGTAGGCCAAAAAGAAGTAGAAGAAAGCAACCAATTGAGCTTGTAAAAGGTGATAGAATGACTAAAGAGGGTAAACGAATGACTTGTTCTACCTGCATTGTGGTTGGACATAATAGCAAAGGATGTCCTTTGAAAAAGGTATTGTCTCAACTAATTGATCATGTTGATGCCGAGCATGTTATCTTAATATGTTGTCAATTAATGCTTGCTATGTGCTTTTCAGGCCAATGCTCAGGCCAATGTATGTTCATCTAGTGCTCATGCCAATGCAAGTACAGCTGAAGCTCATGCTCAATCTCAAGCCAATGTGTGTTCATCTAGTGCTCATGCCAATGCAAGTACAGCTGAAGCTCATGCTCAATCTCAGGCCAATTCCATTGGACCAAGGCCTGACAAAAGACAAATAAGTTGTGGTAGAACCATCTATTGTAAGTTTTATATGTCATGGTTCCAATTTAATGATGATGAGTATCTATTCAGGCTAAAGCTAAAGCAACGACAAGCGTAAGTGAAGGAGGATCCAAAGGCCAGGCCAATGCTTCTGCAGAGGCCAGTGCAATACGAGACAATAGTGGGCAGGCCAATGCTTCTGCTCAGGCTAGTGCAAATGTAAGAGGATGCAGTGCCACTCCATCCTCTCATATAGGATGTACAGCTACCGCTGATATAAGAGGATGCAGTGGTGAGGCCAATGCTTTTGCTAAAGTCTGTTTGATCAAGGTGAAGGTATTTATAGTGCTCAAGCCAATGTAATTGCTCAGGATAGACCGCAGAAAATCCCAGTGAGTAATACGTCAATCCCCATGCATACATGTATTGTGATTACATTCTCATGTCAAATAATTTTATTTTTTTTTTTTCAGTTTAAAAGACCTGCAATTGAAAATGAAATGATGCAAGGACAAGCACAGGCGAAGAGGAAGAAAATGGTAGGGTTGGGTGTTGACACAAATCGTAGGACAAACCTTCAAATTCTCAACGTGAGTGATATTTTAACAATTTATAATAGCAATTGCATGTCTCCTTGAGATAAAAACATGTTCATTCTTTTGTAGCCCGGCACAACTGGTGTAAGAGTATGTAACCTACCAGACAAAGGGGTAGTTTTAGGAGCTGCTTCAATGGCAAAGGCACATCCCCAAGCCAATGCACAACCTCGGCAATTAAGAACTTGTCCTCGAAAGCATGTTGATGTAAAGCGAAAGGCACCATTACAACCCAAGGCGAGTTCCCAACCTCAGTCATATCATGCTACAACAGCTCAAAAACATCGTGTAAAGCGAACGACACCGTCACAACCCCAAGCGAGTTCTCAACCTCAGTCATCTCATGCTACAATAGCTCCTCGAAAGCATATTGCGGTGAAGCCAAAGCCACTATCACAACCATAGGCCAGTTCCCAACCTCAGTCATCTCAGGCTACAACAACTCCTCCAAAGCCTATTGTTGCAGGACCATATATGGAAAAGCCCAAGAATTATGAATAATGTGAAGGTCGAACCTGCTTGACCTCCAAAGACCATAGAATTGGATTGACATATTTGCTAAAAATGGTTTTTTTACGTGAATTTATGTCAATTATCAGCTGGTTTTTTGTATGAGACATGTAGCTTTGTTTGTTCGGAACTTGGCAGACAACTTTTGGACAGCTTTTGGTCTAAGCCTAATCAAGTTTCTATTTTTTTAGGTGAATTTATGTCATTTTCGCTAAGCTAATGCAGGCATTTGTTGAACAGAAGCTTTTGTTCTCGATCATTAATCAGTATGTTGAGTATCAGATAGTGCTTGAGTTGCTACTTGCCTTTAGTACACTGATAGTGCAGATATTTTGTTGAACAGAATATTCATCATCAATCGTTATCAGTACGCGCAGTATCAAAGAGTGCTCGAGTTGCTATTTGTCTGCTATAGCCTGATTTTTGTGTTTATGCTCAACTTGGGCTAGTACGAGCAGTTGTATAGAACAGCATGTAAACGAGAGTTATTTAGACAGAATTTAGATACATGTCAGGGTGTGGGAATCGGAATGCGATGCACCAATTTGTTAGAACAGCATGTAAACGATAGTTTTCTATGTTTGGGAAAGCCTAGTTTATGTGTATAAATGTATACTCATTATGTTTAAGAATACGTTAGCACCAACTTTGGCCAATGACAATGTTATTAAATTGCATGAGTGCATGGTTGGTTGATCAGATTGCCTATTTTGGCCATCCAAGATCGAAGTTCAGATTGCGAACAAACTAATCGAACATAACAATCGAAAAATAGGGTAATCTTGAACATTGTTATGTGATCAACAGGGACATAATCCATGATAACATTAGATTTCATTCCCATCTCAATTACCCACAACTAGTCTTACAAACTTACAAACTTACAAACAAGGTACTATGGAAGACTTAGAAAATTCCCACCAACTTTCACATTACATATAACCAATGCAGTCATACAACACATGCATAGAACGAATGCCAATTGATATAGCATCTTTTCTTTCTTTACTTGTGCGAGCTCCTCCTTTAAACGTTTATTTTTCGCCCTTTGAGTCTTCATTTTAGTTAGCAATGAGCTCACATCGACCTCATCACGCCTCGATTGGCTTGATTCACATAGTGCTTGATTTCTTTCAAGGAGGTCGACTATCATGTCCCTTGCTCGATCTGGTATCTTCGGGTCAACCCACATGAAGAAATCGCAGCAACTCGGACCATCAAACTTAGCACATCCATGAAACCTTCTTCCTGCATTTTTCCTTGTCTTTGCGGTAAGAATTGGTGATTGAAGACCACAATAGCATGTTGGCTCCGACTCGACCTCATTAGGAGTTACAACACTTGATTCAGATGTTGGCACTCTCATTCTTCTAGTCGTCATATTATAAGAACCTAATTGAAGTATATTATCTGTATTTTGATTCTTTCCAGACAACAAACTACATTAGCACAATCTTTCTCAAAATGGTTCATGCTTGGCATCATATGTGAATTGAGAAGAAACTCTAGAAAACGATAACAAAGTCGAAAATTTCATATATAATTAGGAAGAATCTGACAGACAGTAGACACCACAAAAAGTATATAAAAATTCCTCAATCTTTCGACACACAAAATCTCCACCATATGGTAAAGCAACTCACTAATATGGACCAGAAGAGAAACATTTGAAGCTAATATCACGAGTCAAGGCTCAGCTCCACATAAACCAATCAAGAACTCGAGACAAGAACCATTTCTCACGCGGTCGTGAACTGAAATTAGAAACCCAAGCAGCTATCCTACCCTACCTCATCGCAAATCACAACGCAAATTAAGGGTCAAAGCATAGTGGACTTCTTATCTGTTTGAACTTCATGTATTGAAAACAGGAGTCAAAGTTCAATCTCAATTTCACAAAGAATCTTACTGTGAGAAAGGTGCGTACATCAGCACACTCCGAAGCTGAATTTATGTCTACTGATCCCAGGTAACCTAAACTTCTACAATCAATGGAAAATCTAACCCATGTCTGCTGAATCAATCATGAAGATACCGGAAACAACACTTTGAGTTTCCATCACTCTCAGTTGACTCATCATGCTCTTCGGTAGAGGTTTAAGCATTATAATGAGGACGGAGGATGACTACTAATAGTTGATTGTGCATCGACTTGAGAGGGCCTTCGGGCAAACAGCCATCCTACCTTACCCTACCTCATCGCAATCGCAACGCAAATCGAATCGCTCCGAACACACAGGTCCTGACCGAACTGGAATAGAAACACACGTCGCTCGATACCAACATGCTATAATGCAGAGAGCGATACCTGTGAGAGGAGTCCCCGTTGCCGTTGCCGTCTCCGTCGTCAAAGCCACTCGATCCGCCATCGAGACTCCCGCAGGACAGGTCTTCGCACGAACTCGCTATCGACGAAGAAGAGAACTCGAACTCGAACTCGAACTCTACGAACTTCAGATCACGATTAAACTCCAAATGACGATGGGCGTCGAACTCCAACTCGCGAGGAGACCCAAATCACGAGGGAACTCGAGATCGTCGAACTTGATTTGGGGCTTAGGGTTCAAAGGGAGACCAAATGTTAATTTCGTTTAGAGGGAGAGAAGGACGACGACGAATCTGGGCTTAGGGTTCAGAGGACATCGATTTGAGAAGAAGAAGAAGAAGAGATGTTGTTCCGGCAGAGGTTGAATCGGAGCATACGATTCAGAGAGACGTTGAGAAGGAAGAAGGAAGGAGACGAAGGAGACGCCGCAGGTGAAAGGAAAGAGAGACGTTCAAGAAGAAAGGAGGACGTCCAAAAACGACGTCGTTTTGCATACGTGGAAATTTTTGCTTAAACCATTTTCCACGTAGGAGAGAGAAATGATTAATAAGCGCCACGTCAGCGCCACATCAGCGTTTTCCGTTAATAAATTTAACGGTGTTAACTTTAGGACTCAAATGCACTTTTGTTACAAGTTTTAGGACTCGATTGAACTTTTTGCAAGTTTTAGGACTTAAACGCATTTTTGTGACAAGTTTTAGAACTTGTAGTGCACTTGTCCCAAAACATTTTGTAGGTGCCGGACAACATGAAGATCGTGAAATATTTAAAAAGACAGAAAGAAAAAAAACCAAAAAGCGAGAGGGGTTAAACTATTGAATCTCGATATGTCCTGGCCGGTGTGATATGCCACGTCGGTAAATAAATATCCCCGCCGCAAAAAAAGCTCTCCGGCCAGATCAGCGTGGCGCTGCGGGGACCACCCGCGGCCATCGATCGGGCGCCACGTGGCGAGCGGCGCGTGGTGGGGGGGGGAGGGCATCGTCCAGCTGGCGAATATCTGGTCGTCCGTCCTTGGGGTTGTTGGCGGCAAAAGGGATTGATTGTTTGCCAGTTGGATCGGAAGGGGGAATATAGCGGGGAAGAAAAAATAAAAATAAAAATAAAAATAAATTAAAAGGGCGGGAAAAAAGGGCCCCACTCAGTAGAATGGACGGTGATTGATTGGACATTCCTCTGTGTGGGCCCCAGGTGAAGGGACATATAATTGGAGGGGCCCCACCAGCTGAGACCATCCACATCAGATCCAGTTTTTTGGAATTGGGATTTTTCCCCGTAGATCCTTGGTGTTTTTTTTTTCTTTTACTATTTTTTTGTAATGGTTTACCTGATCAAGAACGGGTGTTTTCGCCTGTGTTGGCTAAAACGCATTGTTTAACGATCTAGCGACCGGTCTGTCGACTCATCCCCTGTCTCTCCTCGATTTTTTCTTTTTCCGGAGGCAGGTCTGGAATGCCTTCTTTTTTTGTCATCTCGAGATCCGGACGAAGTGTTGAGAACCTCAGCCACAATATTTCTCTAGGTGTGGAAGCTGCCTCTACCCCTTGTTGTTTAAATGTTCCCGAGGATTGGGACCTAAGTTTTGGTAGGAACACCCCACCATAAGGTGTTTTCCCTTCATTGACTTAAGAGCCTTTTAATGACCTGTTTAGATCCATTGCTTTTTCTAAGAATGGATTAGTTTTATCGGGTGCAAATTTTCTCAATAGGTCAATGTTGAACATAATACACACTTTTGTTGATTAAGAAGGGTAATATATGGGCATATGGATCCAAAAGCTATTTGCATTGGCTTTAACATTTTGAGCGAGTTAATCATTTCATTTCTCCGATTAACGATGAATTCAACAATCACTGAACCTAAGTCTCGATCTCGATCATTCTTTTTTTGTCATTCTTATTTTCAGACTCAATGACCCCTTTATATGCGCTAGAGGCCGTGCATATCCTTCCATCTCTTCTCCATGATAGCTGATAACCCCAAAATCATCTGTAACGTTTAGTGTGTCCTCAACTTGTTTTTTTATTGAAAGCGATTCTACCTATTTTTCGATCATGAAATTAATTTCTTTCAATTCGGTCCCACATTAAAAGGATGCATTTCTTCCAAAAACTCCCGACACCCATTTCGCGAATTCATCTTCTCGATACAATAACCAGATCTCAAGCGCGCATCATGCATGCACCCAATTCACTTTCCGCGCGAATCCCATTTGGTAATAAGAAAAAAAAAATCTCCAAAGTAGGCATCCTCTTCTAAAATGCTTGTATTATTCGGAAGAATTTGCGCAAGGTGACAAAAGTTCCATAATGAGAACTTGTCTTCCAATTCAACATTCTCTCTCTCTCTCCTTTGCTTCTTGTGGAAGGACTTCGCTTGAGCCCATCCCCCTTTCAAATAAAAAATTCCCCCAGCAGACACTTAGTTGATACGCTACGATTCGGAATCAATTGGCCAAAGGGATCGATTGTAGAAACAAGAGGAATCGATTGAACATGAACGGGATGACACGCGCGCGGTGATGCTGTCTGCCCAAGTGAATCTTCAAAAGTTATGGGTGGTGGGGATTCATCTTCGATTTTACCGGAATCGGTTTCAACTCCCCCATCATTGGCACTTAGCAGCATTGTGGGGATCCCTCATTGCCGTGGCTCAAAAGAGGCCATCCCTGCTCTCCCATGAGTGGCCAAGTGGCTCAAAAGCATCCTAGGTACGTAAACAATTGGGTAAATGATATGAACGGTCTCTGAATTTCGGTCCAATGTGCAATGTGGTCCATGAACTTGAAATTCGTTTAATGTGGTCTATGAACTTTAACTTGCTGTGCAATGTTATCCCTAAACTTTTAATTTGTTCAATGTGGTCCATGGATTGTATGAAAATATTCAATGATGTCATTCCATTAATTCAAGTTCAGGGACAATATCGAACATTTTCATGAAGTTCAGAGACTAAATTGAACATGTACAAAAAGTCTAGGGACCACATTAAACCAATCAAAAGTTCGGGGACGGCATTGCACATTGAGCTAAACTTTAATGACCACATTAAACAAATTTAAAGTTTATGGACCACATAATACATTTGACCAAAGATCATGGACCATTTGTGTCGTCATCCTAGACAATTATATATTGACATGGTGTCGGAAGTCGATTGGATCGTATATCGATCACAATATGAACCCGAGGGGCTGGCGTGATTAGTTGGACATTGAGGTGTTTTCAGTTCAAAAATTGGAGATCCATCCATTCGAATCTCGTAAACTGTGTGCAAGCCGTTCTGGGTTGGGATCATCTCTACAAGTACAATGTCCGAACTTAACCGATTCAAAGGGATTGCACGGCATTTCGCAGGCCTTCCCGTAGCTTGGTCTCCATGCTCGTGCCTTTAAACTATGAAAAGAAAACGGCATTCTTTTCTTGTATAAATTGCGAGGGGACGCGAGCATAGAGGTAACATATCTTTCTTTAAAAAGAAAAAAATATGCTTACCTAAGCGCACTCAACTCTTACTAGCATCACATCGTGAATACCAGCTGGACAAGTTAAGGTCTGCCTTTTCATTTTCTTTAGGATGAAGCTATGGATATCTGAAGTCAACTTACAACATAAACAAACTGAAATTCAGGTCCATACGTATTGCTTTTTTAGATGGTGGGCTTCCTTCTCAGCACACAACACAATCTCTCTCTCTCTAGAGTACGTTCAGATTGGAGCAGTGTACTCCATTGATAGCAAGGAGCTCGACACCTCCATTGCTGGAACTTGCCATTTCATTTTCGACATTATTGGTCAGATACTCGATATCCCGATCTTAAATTATCACCACTTTAACTTATAGTTTTAGCAAACGAGAGTTGCGCTTTCTGCATGCATTTACTATTACATCGTGCATCCTACTTTCCAGTGAGATTGGATATTAAGAGTCTCGCACTGGCTACTTACTTGCGCGGTTACATCCTCCTTACGATATGTCTATTTGCCAAAGAATGATCTTCCACAAGAGTTAGACTAGACTAGCCGCCTTTAATTTTCTTAAGCCTTTTAATATATTTGTAGAAAAAAATTGTACAATTTACTAAAGTAAGATAGGAAAAAAGGGAATGCAGCAACAAAGCTTTAAAGTCAAATTAGATCAAATCATTGCATCTTGCCCAATTTGATATCCAAGCCCATCGGTTTAAGGTCGAATAGACAGACCACCAAAAGCCCAAGCCTTGCCCTATCTTGGGTTTGGCCAATTCAAAAACCAATTACGACATATTTTTCTATTTCGAAGGTGATGAGGAGCAATTGGCATTGACGGTCCTCCCATGTCTAATCTAGGGCCTATCAGAAAAATCTGACCCAAAATTCTCATACGAAACGAGGAATAGGATCGATACTACGACTTCTAAGCTGATTCATTACATGCGCACGTGAATGATGTAAAATAAGTTACGATGAACTCTTAAAGACTAGATCGAGCGATTAAGCGGTTCGATTTGAATGTTGACAATTTGCGGGCTTAAATCACAACGCCGTGCACTCGATAATGACCTCAAAGACTATGCCCATCACCCTTCGGGTGGAGGGCTTAACTAACACCATATCGGGTCGATATAGTTGGACGGAGATGTTTGCATGCATCCGCGAAGGGTTGTCGAGTCGTAAACTTGAAATGCCCTATTATAGAAAAGGGATACAAACACGGTGTTTTCTTTTTCCTTTTTTCTTTTTAAGTTTTTGCGTGTGGAAAAGTACAATATGGGAAGAAATTAAAATGAAAATTCCCTCTAATTAGATTGTGCGGGACAGAGAAACCGAAGATCCAATTAGAATAAGTATATGCACATATATTTTTTGAGTAGCTGATTATGGAATTAAGATGACCATAATTAGAGAGAGAGAGAGAGAGAGAGAGTCCATGAATCTCGAGAGAGAGAGAGAGAGAGAGAGAGAGAGAGAGAGAGAGTCCATGAATCTCGAAAGAGGGATCATTCCAAGGGATTTTCAACTTAAGTGACGTACTCGTAGGAAGGCCAGTCAATTGAACCGGTGTGGAAAAGGACTTAGGATGGAAGCTAAAGTCAAATGTTTGGAATTTTTGGGGAAGAGCAGCTCATGGTCTATCATCCAAATTTGAAATGTAGTCCTCGAGAATTTTCTTGTTTTTTTTGTGTGTGTGTGTCTGTTCTTAGTCAAAATGTCATACGCATGTGTCACAAGCCGGTAGTTTTTTGGCCGCGGAATAGCCCGTACGGCACTTGGCGAGTCGAGAAGACCCTAGGCCAGCCTGCATTCCGATAGTTATTCCTAAGAATAGTACAGCGAATATCATCATCGTATCGGATCGTACCACACTCAGCTTAGTTTGGGCATCCAGTCCCTCGAGCGAGACACGCATAACACCTTAGGCACAAGTGGTTTCGGCCTAACATGGTATCATCAAGGGAGTGGCATCAGCTCCCGACCGATTTGTGCATGAGAGGCCAACCCCGCCTTCAGAGCTCCTGTAGAGCTCCTAAGGGTATATTCATTCTAACCTAAAACTCCTAGCACAAACCACCCAGATGTTTCCTACAAATAAGTTGTATTATCCTTTTTGCATCACCCACTCTTCACCCCGACGCCATTAAGCTCCACTAACAAGGGTACAAGAGTATGGGATAATCGCGATCTATGACACATGTCTCCAATGATCCATCTATTTAATTAGCACAACAGGAAGCAAGGTCTACCGAAAATTGAAATAGTGTCATTGGTCAACAAAATCGTGTAATAAAATGACGTTTTTCACGACATCAGTCATAAAAAAAAAACATGTTGTTGGCCCATATCCTACTTAAGATTCTCCGTTTTATTTATTGAAAAATAAACGATGAGGAAAATAGTTCATAATAATGATCGTTTGTATTGCTTGAAATAATTAATCGATGAAAAATATTTTTACTATCGACAACAATTTATGCTTAGTCATTTTTGTGGACGATGAAATTTTTTTTTGTTAATTTATTTTTGTAAGTAATACAAGCGATCATTTTTAGACAATAATTTTTAAATTATTCATTTTTTGCGATACAAATGGAGAGGTACATTTTATGTAGTCACGCTTAGATGCCATGTTTTACCCGTAAGACAAGGCTTTTGTCTCGCGTCAAGTTCGAGACAATGAATTTTTGACGAGCCTTAGATGGTGCAAACAATCGTGCTTCGACAGTCCTCCCAACACACTGTAATCTCCGTGAAGGAACATGACCCTTTGTCTATACATGGGATGGTAATAATCTGGAGTTTGCCTTGATTCAAGGGCTTGAAAACCATTAATATTGATCTTGTAGCTATTCCATAAAAATCTAGCTAGAAGATAAAGTCTTGAAGAGTTTATACTAGCTAGATAAGGTCCATGTGAAGAAGTTGCCTCATTGATCTCGGCTATCGGATTCATGTGAAGAAGGTCGATTATGTAATTTATTACTCAACGCACCATTGGTTCGGGACCATTAATATATAAATATTAGATCGTGTTAGAAAATCCTGCCCAAAAAACTTAAATTGTTTGATGAAAACGTTGTTTAATAATTAAATATTATAATACTCGGCCTCACAAGTAATCTAGACTTTAGCCTAAAATCAAAGCGTGGAAATATATTATAGGGAAGGCAAATAGATGTCTGAAAAGATTTGTGTAACCGTCGATTATTTAAAAAATTTAAGTGACGTGATTTATTTAAATATTTTAATAGGGAGGATTGAGATGCCCTTAGGGAGCATAAGTGGGAGCAGAGAATCTCCATCACTTAGAGTCCGTGATGCACATTTGCATGTTTATTAAAAGAGAATATTTTGACAAACTCCTACCTCCTTTTTTCTCTCGCTCTCATGATTTAGGAAGACTAGATTTCAACCTAATTAATTAATCAGTACGGATTTACCACATGTTTGGGGGAAAATTATCAAAAAAGTTTTAAACCTAATGTACAAATATTAATTCAGTCCTAAAATTGTCAATCGTACCAATTGAGTTCTAAACCTTTTGACAATTTGCCAATATAGTCATTTTGGCTAAAATTGATCGGAAATCGCTAACTCGGACAAGTTTTGATTTTTTTTTTTGGATTTTCTATCAATTTTTATTTTATTCATTTTTTCTTTTTTTCATTGTTGACTTCTTGGAGAGGGCCGGTAATCCTTGTCATTCGCGAGCAAGGGCTCCCAGAAAGCCCTTGCCGACTAGATCTAGCCGTGAGCCTCAGGGTAAGGGCTCTGCCCTCACCTAGTGGCCAGCGGGCCGACAGGCCCTTATTAGCAAAAAAAAATAAATTAGAAAATTAAAAAAAAGAAATTTGTAAAAATTGTCAAGTGCCACATAGGATAGACGGAGACCGCCTCAACGATTATGGCGGATTTTAGCTGGGAGGACTACATTGGCAAATCGTCAAAATGTTTATGACTAAATTGGCATAATTGTCCGACCAAAAAGAAATTTGGCACAATTTAAATATTTACGACTGAAATGGCATCCGAACAATATGTTTAGGACTTTTTTGGTAATTTTTCCCATGTTTGGTCCATAGAAATAAACGTTCTATTATGAATATATTCCTAATGCAACAATATTACATTGTCCAATACAAAATTCATCATAAATATAATAGATTGCATATATAAGAGTTGATAAAGAAAGGTAAATGAAGGTCTGGAAAAGATAAAAGAAGTCAGTAATTTGGAAAAACTAAATAAACATCAACTCAAATAAGAGTTTGCAATTTAATCGCAGAAAAATTGGTATCACTACTATTGAGAGGTTGATAGGTTTTTTTAAAAAAAGTTGATATATCTAATGGATTGATAAGTAATGCGAACAAAAGTTTGGTAACACAACTAAAAAGTTGGTCAACTTAATAAAACATCAAATAACTGTCAGTCAACAAATTAAACGAGAGATGTAACCTAATGAAAGAAAAGTTGGTAAGTGACACAAATAAAAGTTGGTAAGTCAATTTAAGTTGTTTGTGAGAAAGACAAACAAAATTTGGTAAAAAATAACGCGAATTGATAAATTAAAAGAAAAAGTTAGTATATAACTCAAATGCGAGACGATATAATCCACAAAGAGCTGGTAACTAAATCGGAAACTGTTGGTAATTCATTCAAATAAAGATGGATAAATTCATATAAAAGTAAGTAAATTTAGGTGTTGGTTAAAAGTTGGTAAAATATAAGGAAAACCGGTCTATCGGTAATCTGTAAATAAGAGTCGGTGATTTCATAGTATTATCAATAAGCTCTAGATGAATTACTTGAATAAGCAATTCAATCTTTCGAAACGAAACGGTAGAATCATCCTTATATCGATCTCCAGCGAGATAACAAAACGGCCAATATATATATATATATATATATATATCAACGGTAATCTTGGTAACTATACTCGTGGAGCATGGAGATGAACGGGCACTTGTTTAGGAAGCTGCTTTGAACCATCATCTTTAAAAACACACAAGTCAGGCGCCGCCGCATGTTCTTGAAGGGTCTCGACAGGAAGAAACGTGGACATCGTTGTCTTTCATTAGACATAGCCATGCATAGGATTAAATGCTGCTTCAAGGAAGTTGCGAGGCAATTAGGTTTTGGCGTGCCGCAGCCAAAGCACTATAGGCACTTTGCATAAATTCGACTCAGCCATCTACCCACTTCATGTCTCGTCACATTCGAGCTGCCTATGAAAAAGTTACATGATCCCACTTCCACCTTTCCAATTCCCTCAAAAAACAAATCATATACATATATGTAAACTCGCTCTTTGGGCCGCCGGGAGAGGCGGGTTCAAGAGCGAAAACCTAGCTGATTATCGACTTAGAAGAGTTTCCATGTGCTTATATGCTCGCTCACGCACGCATCCGACGCCTTCTTGAGAGGACATTGAATGGAAATAAGTATGAAGTTTGCAAGATCGCAAGAGGAGTAAGCAACCATGTGTCCCCGTTCACACACGATTGAATGTGGATGGAAGTGACTTTTCAAAATATTCCTTTTTGGGTTGGACTTTGTGGATGCACTTGGAAATGGGACGTCCTAGTCCTAATGATGAAAGCCGCCACCAATTTTCCACACCCCTTACTTTTACTATTCAATCCGCCAATACAGCCATGATTTTTTCTCTTCCTAATATCTCTCACTTTGTCTTTTCATTTCTAATTTTGTCATCCGTGTAATATTTATCATACATGTACAATTTTTTTTTTGGCTAAAGATGATGCTTTAGCCTTGAGGGCTCAATTGATCTTCTAACTGTAACAGTCTCCCATTTACACATATAAAGTAATCTTCGAAATAGGTTTTAAGATTCTCATGATCGCATCTAAATACATGATATAGGAGTGGATCACACGCATTTTCATGAATAGCCTCAACAATACGCGTCGCCCGTCTAAAAAAAGATATTATATAGTTTGTAGACCGTGTTGGTCCGATCCATTTCTAACGTTGATCACGCAGGACCCGTACAGTAATATTTATAATTAATAATTGAGATGATGTCGGTTCACGTGATATATAACAAATGCTAAAAGACCAGGGCAGCTTGCAGAGAGGAACGAAAGTTTCCCACAGAATTTTCGTGCGGTTTACGTCAACTCGGATGCTATCTATACCCGTCAAGATCATCGCTCTATCTTTTGCCCGCCTTTCACTTCGTCTCTCATTTTTCCTTTTATATATCATCCCTACGAGAAACTTTCACACCACGCCCTCCTCCTCCTCCTCCACCCCCCATATTTCTTCTTCTTCATCTCATATCTTTGTTTCACCCTAAATAGATCATCATAGAACAAAACTCTTTAATGATCCATGGATAGCTATCACATCTTGTTCCCTCCATCTTCTGCTTCATCAGCCGCACCACCAAGCTTTCCTTTTGCACATTATGCTTACAAAAGTGCTCACGAGTTTCATGCTGGGTCAGAAATGATGAACCACAGTAACGAGACATGTTCATCATCCGAGGTTAAAGATGAGCTAATCAACTCTCACGCCGGCATGTCTCGAGATGACGAAGACCAAGTCGGAGGCGACAAGAAGAAGGGGCCGTCGTCGGAGAAGAAGAAGATGAGGAAGCCAAGGTATGCGTTTCAGACGAGGAGTCAAGTGGACATACTCGACGATGGTTATCGGTGGAGGAAATACGGTCAAAAGGCCGTCAAGAACAACAAATTCCCCAGGTACACTACTTAATTTGAGGACTTGGAACTCTTTATTCTCTTTTTCTCGATGATTTTCTACGAGGGTTGAAGTTTATCTGCTGTGCATCAATTAACTCCGTGTCAAACCCGTAAAGTAAGATTGCACTAGATCTTCCACTATGCTGCTATTCCTTGGAGTGGAATTCTGCCTGATATGTGGAGGTCTCTTTCCCTATTGGATGTGTATCTTAATAGAAAACTTAATCACATAGCGGAGGAAATTGAACCCTTTTATAGTTCGAGTCTGTTGGATCAATTGGGATAATCAATGGAAGACAAGTTTACACCTTCAATTGCTTGCTCTCGGATAAGATAGCTAGGGTTATGACTAAAACCCCAAAAAGAATGGAAAAAGAAGAGAATAAAAGAGAGCTAGGTTACCCACCTACGCATGGCCGAGTTGGTGGGCGCTTTCTTTCCCTCCCCAGAGGTTCTGGGTTCGAATCCCCGCTCGGTTCCGTAATTTAAGTGGGGGCCCTGGCGGTGGGTTGCTGGGCTAGTCTCCCCCGAGGTATAGACGCCCCGATTACCTGTGTGGGCTCGTCCCCGGGAAATGATGGCGGATCCACAGTTATCAAAAAAAAAAAAAAAGAGCTAGGTTGAAAGCTTTGATGGTTGATTATCGAAGAAAATGCACGAAAACATTAGTGAACAGGTGTTCCCACTCCTTCACAGGATGTCCATTACACCTTGCGATGACTCCCAATCACAATTACATCTGAACGCAAAAGGGGTTTTCATTCTGTTCGCTGCCTATATATAGTTTTAGAAGATTGCCTCAATAGCATTCCTCGTGAAAACGATGCTTTTCACTTTGTGGAGAACAAATAAGAAAGTCAACAAAAACTATCATCATTCTAAAGGGACATCATCACAGGCTTGATTTATCTAAGGTTCAGTAAGTTCTGAAGGTGCTCTTTCCCATCACTCAGCTTATATTCTCTCTCCCTACGCACGTAGTTTGGAGATCCTCAGTATTTCCGACCCTAGATTTCTCGTGTTCTGGCAGGAGCTACTACAAGTGCACCTTCCATGGATGCAACGTGAAGAAGCAAGTCCAGAGGCTGACCAAAGATGAAGGTGTCGTGGTGACAACCTACGAAGGCATGCACACCCACTCGATAGATAAACCCACTGATAATTTCGAACATATCTTGAACCAAATGCATATTTACAATCACTTTTAGTGGTTCCATGCATGAGGAAAGGGAGAAATTTAAGAAAAAAATTAGGTCCGTTAGCTTTGTGAATCGCTTAAATGAACGCTTGAGTTTAAGAGTTTCTTCAAGGAAAGAGATCAAGGTTGTGATAGTTGGAAAGTGTGAGTTTCATCCTCTTATTTCGGTTGAACATTGTCGGCACATTTACATATTTGTTGTTTTATGTATCTATACATACGATTGGTAAATTACGATCTACTCATATGCATTTCTAGTCCAGAGTGATCATGAAAATAACGTGAAACTGTAGGGAAGTTCGTCCGTCCTGAGAATCAACCCTCGGGTTCGAATGAGGTTAATGTAGTCACATTCTATTGTTTATAGAGATATTTCTACAATAGTCTTCGATGCAATAAGGGAGTGGAAACAGTACAGGAGAAAGGGATGTAAGCTTTTGCGTTTATTTTCCTTGCCCCGACATAAAATATTAGGGCGATGAAAATCGGTAATCCATGAGTTCCCGAATCAAAGAATGTGCTTTGATATGGATTTAGCATGTTTCCTCACGATTTGCCTTTTCTAAGAGATGTTCATCTCACGAGATTTTTGAGACCTTGATTGTGTTGGTTATCTACTCCCATTTCTCCTGTTGTTCTTCTCCCTGCGGTCAGATAGTTTGTCTATTTGTTTATGTCACATTCTAACTTCGACCGTGCGAGAGAACTATAGTCCCGTCGCTAAATGTTAGATGCCATTGTGGCATCATCGCCGCCTTAGAACTATCGGATGTTAACACACCACGTGAAGCGCAGTTGATCGCGGACCACCACCATAAGGTGTGAATTGAGGAAAATCGGTTTGGGTGGACCGACTAAAGGGGCAGTCTACACCATTCTCGCCCTTCATTTCTCCCTTCACAAAGACGGCCAGTCATGCATGTGATGTATCCAAAAACACATGCAGACCCTAAAGACCATATTCTTGGCATGAAGCTGTGCAGATCAGATGGCGACGAAGACGACGACGCCAGTCTTTATCTCTTGCGGGTCGAGAATGGCAAAGCCAAATTGAAGACCGTCTTCTCAGTTTCCCAATTATCTCTCTCTCTCTCTCTCTCTCTGACCGCAAAAAGTGACCGTGGAACTGGAAAGCTCGCCATTTATTTCGGTCCCACGCTTTTCGCATCATTGCATGCGTCGCAGTTTCACGGACTTGCATGTTTATCGCTTTGCATCTGCCTAAAAAAGAAGATTGGAATTGGACTCCCGACCTCGTGAATTTGAGCACAGAAAATGGTTTCGCGTTCACCACACACGACATTGACGTCGAAGCTAGAGATGTCGACCGGGCCAGGCCGGTCCGAGCCTGGCACGATGCATTTTCCAAATGGGCCGGCCTGGCCCGATCCATTTTTCGGCAGTCTTCTTTGTTTTTTTTAATAATAAATATTTATAGCCATAGACCTCTGGGCCGTTGTTACCAATTATGGCTAAAGGGTATATAGTTTCTCGGGCTCTTTTCAATAGATCACAGAATAATGCGACGTATCTTTTGGGGTAAACTTAAGGCGTAGGAGACGTATCAATTGTATGGCAACCCATGTTAGCTAGGGGAGGTGGATTAGTCTAGTCAAATTGATTCTTTTTGGGGGGTAATGACTGCTTAATCGATTTAAAAACGCATCGTTTTGCGTCGTTCATATCTTTTGGTGGACGGTGCCGAACGTAATGATACTCCCATCTTGTACGTACCCGTGGTGATAGTGGAATCGAACTTGCCTTTGTTTATGGTGTTAGGAGGAGGAAACAGAGCCGGTCTCCAAATTGACCCAGCCAAATACGTGTGTGCCGGTCTTTTCTTTAGGGAGAGATCCTTACATATGTTTTACCACATGGAAAACAGCAATTTTCTATTTGAAAAAGAAAGAATTTGTAACACTTTGGATGAGATGATTGATTTAGATGGATAGAGATTTAGTGCCGCTAAAAAAGCTGAAGACTGCTCATTCGAGATGAGCAATAATTTCGACAGAGAGACATCCTCAGTTCTGTTGTCGGAACGTACTGTCCGGTTGTCCGTCCTTTAGTTATTGTGCACATTATTTTTTAAGAATGAACTTTTCATCTCATAGCGTGGTAACCATGAGAGACGTTGGCTTCTACCCAAGTTGATCATTTTATGCGAAATGTTACCATTTTAAAAGAAAATTAGAAGGACTTCTCAAAAAATGAAAAAAAAAATAGAAGAACTTACACGAGTGTTGACGTTTCTCTGACCCTTCCGTTCTCTCCCTTACTCTTCTCTCTATATCGTCTTCTTCAACTTTCAGCCATGGGGTAGGGTTTGAGCTTGTCTACCCTCCCCTCCCTCTCTTGTTGATTTTGTTTGTGTTTATTTTGTTGTTTTCTTATTTCTTCTTCTCTTTCGATCTAGATTTGTGAGCTCTCTTCTCCCGATCCAGTTCTAAATCTGAGAGTTTAAAATCTCTCGATCTAGGTCTAGGAATATAATAAATATTCTTTCGGGGATTTGATGTCCCTATCCTCTGTTCATGTACAAGTCCTTAGCCTCCAGCTTTAATGGTGATCACACAAGCTTTGGTGTCTCGCTGAACCACAAAAATTTGCTCTCCCAAGTGTTAAATTTGTGTTTTTTCAATCTGTTTTAGTTGTCTTTGTACGACGATGGTGCAGAGAAAGTTGAAACTAGGCGCACACTGCCAACTGGCAACACCATAGTTACTAGAGGAGAAATTTTCGGCACGTGCTCATCACTGAGGAAAATACAAGATCTAGTGATCAGTTGTCGATTATTTTGCTTGATAGATCCATTGTAAAACGAGCGTGTCCCTAATTCTGCTGGTGCTCTATTGATCTTCTTTAATTTTTTGGATTTGGATTTGTATTGCGGTATTCTGGACTTTAGCTTGCTTCGATTCGCTTTGTTATGAAGTTTATATATTTTCGATGCATTTTGTTGAGTAATGAATATAATTTTCTTCTAACTAAAAAAATATTAAATAAATCCCCGACACTGTAAAGCCTTCCATAGTCCCACGGAATCGCTTGATCACAAGTTATTTGGGTATTTTCTGAACCACATCGTTACTTGACATTTCCGAGAGAGGAACGATTCGACGGGAGCACGTGTGAGGAAGTGAATATGAGAATCAGACCTAATTATGACAGTATACTTTCAAAAAGGAAAAAACTATGAAAATACAAATAAGCATCAGGAAAATTCATGATGCACGATTACCACCACTTGATGTTCATTATATATATTTTTGTCTGGCAACCAATAAATAAATCGATTTTTGCCCTTCCACATATAGCCATGCAAAAAAGCATTTGCCAGAAAAATGTCCAAATGCTAGTCTCAAGGACATCAACAACAAATAAGTATAGCAACTGTACCGATTCAACCGACGAAAAATCGTGATCCCGCATCATGTCACCCAAAGTTGATCTCGAGTCCTATAGCGATGAGGATGATGGTGATGAGGCCGAAGAAGATGATGGTGTGAACAAGGATGGACACCCCGCTCGTCTGCATGTTGTTGAACTCGATCACCCGGCCCTTCCCCGGCAGCTGAAACAACAGACCCGGCGACAGGATCACGAACAGGAACACCCCGACGAAAACCGGAGCCCAGTCCGCCATCGTTAATCTAAAAGGATTCCTCGGGAGAACAAAGGGTGTGGAGGTTTATTCGTTGTGGATATGGGGGTTAATCAGAAAACTGAGATTTTGATCATATCAAGGAAGCGCTTAGGAAAACACCCACACCTTATATGGACGTGTTTGCTAGGAAAGACAAGGAGCGGTCCGAACGAGGCATAGGAGTTGACGATGAGACGACAGCAACACCCACCAAGGACGGCATTGTCGTGTCCTGGAACATGTTTTGGTAACTCTTGGATTTAGTCTTATCCTAGATCAACTGTTACTTTTGTTTTATGTGAAAGAAGACAATCTGAAGAAGAAAGGTTGCTGCCACTCTTTAAATCTTTGTTATATATTGCTCGATGATTTTTCGAAGTGCTGAATTGTCACTGCGGTTTAACATCTATAATGTAATTTACACATGTAAAAGCCACGTTATGGACATTGGAGATGGGCACGCACGACAATTGCTACGTTATGGGCAATGCGTGGTTATAAGTTGAAAAGGCCAAATCAGATTTAAAACTCTAGTTTGGGCCCATGATTAAAGGATAAGTGTTGAAGGGCTTACGCCATTTTCATCCACTAATCAGGCCATGTTGGGCTTTTCTCAACCAATTTTTTTTGGGTCAAAACTCAACCAACTTTTGCATGAGGAAAATTGTTAAGATACAAAATACATATTTCAAACCACAAGCTTTTACATTAACATTTTCAGAATGAACAATTAAAGAATTTATGCTCAACTTTGCCCTCCATAACTAATACCCTCCTTTCGACCAAAAAAAAAATAAATTATACCCTCCTCAGCATTTCAAAATGTTAATTTTTTAACCTAGTTGAGCTCGGCTTGAGCTCGAGGCCTGCGGTCGGAGGCCATTAAGATTGACCTTGAGCTCGCAATGGCTGAGCGCCTCTATAACAAGCTCGCCAGCTAAGCAAGTATTAAGCAGAGCTCGGCCATGGCCGCATGCAACCTCGATCTGGCCTTGAGCTTCCGCGGCAACCGTTGCCGGCTCAAATTTGAAGGCAGCGATGGCCTCCAAAGATGAATTGGACAGAGCATCCCTCTCTGTGTGGGAGGGTAGAGAGTGTCAGTGGATTTGGGTCTTTGCGGGGTGGTAGTAATTGGAAAATGAATTGGCATTATGGTAAACTATCTATCGGTGCAAGATGCAACTTGAAATTTATTGAAAAGAGTGATGATGATAATTGTGAAATTTGAAATACGAGGAGAGTATTTGACATGGAAAGTAGAGTTGTAGATGATTTTTTTTTTTGTAATTTTCCCTATTTTTAAAAGAAGCAAACACTGATCAAGCAAAACAAATTCAATTCAGCATCGACCTATGGCTCTTAGAGCCTAGTTTGGTGGCATTGGATTACCCCCAAAAACGAGGATTCGATCCTCAAGACTTTTCGTGTTTGGAAACAAACCTAAACTTGGAATCCTAAGACTCAATCGCTTATGCTTTTAGACATGTCTGATACAACTTAAGAAATCAGATAGGTTGACCATCACCTCCGAAAACTCAAAAAAAGAAAAAGAAAAAAATGAAATCTATCAAGATCTATGTTGGTAGAACTTGTGAGATAAACGCTTAAGATATCAATCAGTTCGTGAAACTTTCTATGATGACATGAAAATTCAATTGGCAACAAGCCAAACAACAATGAAGATCGCAATCGTTAATACATCAGCTATAAGACTTTCCCGAAACACCTCAGAAAGCAACGATAGCAACGATACCGTCTCTTAAAAAAGGAAGTGAAAACCGTCCGCCATGAATTCCAGTCACAGGTTAACATCCACCAAAAGCAGAGGTGGGAAATGAAGAATCAGAAAGAAAAGGAGAAGAAAGGATGGGAACTGTGTATCACCAAGTCGAGATCAGCCGGCGTAGATATGGACGTGGACGGCAAGGATGAGGACGGCGTAGAGGGTGAAGAAGATGAGGGTGTGGACGGCGATGGACTTGCCGTTGGTCTTCATGCTCCCGAAGTCCAGGTGACGGTGGTGCCCCGGGAACTGGAAGAGGAGGCCCGGCTGCAGCAGCACGAACAGCACCACCCCGATCAGCACCGGGCCCCAGTCAGCCGCCATTCGCAACGGGCGGCGCGACGACGGGATTCCTTGGAGAGAGAAGGCGGGGAGCGGCGACGGCTTCGAAGGATGGCGATGAGAAAACGAAAAGCTGAAAAGCGTGAACGAAGGAAGAAGAAGGAGGGCTGCTTTCGGTGAAGGCGAGTGCGCGGGGAATCGGAACAAGTTTTGCTTTTGCTTTTGGATGAGTAAAGGTGAAGAAGGAGGGTGGATGGACATTGGACTCCTCGAATCTTGATGACAATGCCGTCATTTTTCATTCATTTACTTTTATTTTGCCACGGTTGCTTCTGATCACAATATTCATAATAATCATAATTGGCAATTTCTTGCTCAAATATATGAAATGTATACGTGTATAGGGAAGACTATAGAGGTTATTTGTTATCTAAATAAAAAGCATATTTTTCTCAGAATAACGACATTACAAGCACGGAAGTTTTTTTTTTTTTTCTTGAGAGTGCAATTTGGTAACTAAGCACGAGTTTTGAAAATGTTTTGTCTCTGCCAATCCGAAAACAATCCTAAAGGCGCGATTGGTCGCCTGGACAATGGATGAGGACCACTGTCGTGGTGGCCATCCTCGATGGTGAAGTATTCGATGAGTGTAGCAACTATATTCAATTGAATTTGAACCTTTAGACACGTGAATTATATCAAATTCATAGATGTAGAATTAGTATGGTGCATACAACATACCTATCAAATAATTTTTGGAATTCAACTCGCGATGCATACTCAGCGGGTGCATTTGCATCGGTGGACTTTTGTAATTCGGTCCCCTTCAATTTGGTGTATTAACATTGATAAACAATCCTCTAATTAAAGTGAGGGCTAAATTTAAAAGACAAATTGTTTTCACTTATTTTTTCTGTCTTCCATTTCTACCCTTCGCCGCTGTCTCCCTGCCGAGTCCAGACTCCGGCTGGGCTGCCACCTCAGATACCAGGCTGGGGCCGCTATTTCGCGCGGCGGTCGAGACCTCTATGGTCACAACCACCGTGGGCCGAGCTCCTCATTCACTTAGGGATCGAAAGGAATAGAAGGGAACTGAGCCGCCAAGACAACGGCTTGGAGGGGTGGTCGCGAGTATGACGGCGGCAGCGAGGCTGGCGGCGTGATGGGTATGGGGCGGAGGAGGGAAGAGAGAGATTGGAATCTGTAACTTAGGAATTTTTTTTGGTGATTTATCACACTCTGAACTTCTCAAGGACCCAATCCGAAGAGGAAATTGCTAGGCACAATCCTATCTTTTAGCGTTTGACTCCACTGGGCTTTCAAAACCCACTTAGGCTCCGTTCGTTTGGTGGAAAATATTCTCCCAAAAAATATTTTCCGGGTTTTCCGGTGTTCGGCGGGCGGAAAACGTTTTCCGTGGAAAAATATTTTCCTTCCCCCCTCACAAAATAGCCTAAGTCTATGGAAAATGACTTCCGCTTTTTCAAAAGCGAAAATCATTTTCCGGAGCTTCTTCTTCTTCTTCTTCACTAAGGTCACCGGCCATCGCCGCCTTCGCCCGCCGCCCGCCGGCCGTCGGCCGCGGCCGCCGTCGGCCGCCCGCCGCCCGTCGGCCGCCCGCCGCCCGTCGGCCGCCCGCCGCCCGCCGCCGCCGCCCGTCGGCCGCCGGCCGCCGCGCCGCGCCGCCGCCGCCGTCCGCCGGCTCGCCGCCGCCGCCGGCCGGCCGCCGGCTCGCCGCCGCCGCCGCCGGTCGCAGTCGCCCCAGCTGCCGCCGGTCGCCCAGCTGCCCTGCGGTCGCCGGTCGCCGGCCGCCGCCGCGGCTGCTGCGACCGCGCCGCCGATCGCCGCCCGCCGCCGCCGCGGCGAAAAATATTTTCCGAAACTTTTTCATATTGGTCGCCGAACACCAGAAAATTATGTTCTGGGAAAACATTTTCCTGGAAAATGACTTCCGGGAAAATATTTTCCAAAAGGAGAATATTTTCCGCCAAACGAACGGAGCCTTAGTTTGAAAGATAGAACGAAAGAGAAGCCCAAGGAAACCGAAGAAAGGCCTGCACTTTAGGTTTTTCATTTCTCATGAATTTCTATGGGACCTTTTCTTATCCTAAGTCAGTGTCCGTTAATTAATAGTTGATTAATTACTTAAGCTACGATAGAGGCGATGCATTCACAACGAAGTAACGAAAAATTCGTTCCATGCATAAAAGCATGCACGGCCATTGTAAAACCCTAACTTTGAGTAGCATTGCTTAGAATTTCTCGATATGAGAACAAACAATAATTTTATTCGAATAAATCTCTCATTAAATTTGATAGGTTGCAATGAGATTACAATTCAGAGGAAAACCAAAATCTCTTGCTTCTGGGTCCATTGATACACATCAAATTGATTCTATAATCATAACAAAATGCAACACCCAAAACAATGCGTAGTTTACAAAAGTAATGACAATTTAGCTTGAAACTTTGCTCGATATGACATTGTTGGTGTAGATGTTTATGTCATGTCGGTCTATGAGCCGATGTACATGTGCACGCCGATCGCTACCAAGAAGATGCATATGAAAGCCAAGTAGAGGATAGAGTGAACAAGAATCGAAACCCCAGAAGTCTGAAAATTGCCGAACTCAACATACCGGTTCCGGCCCGGAATCTGGATCAACAACCCCGGAGTTAGGAGGATGAACAGCACCGTCGACACGAACACCGATCCCCAATCTGTCATCTCCCTCTCTCTCTCTCGATTACTCTCTTCGATATCTTAGATGAATAGTTTTGAGAAGTATGGCTTTGAAGATGATAACGAAAGGCGATCGAAGATGTGCTTTGGGAAGGCGCGGAGACAAAGTATTGGTGAAGAGAAGGAAAGAAAGGAGAGACTCATAGAATCAAGCAATTCGTGTTCATTGTTCACATTCGCTTTAGGACTTTAGTTAATGTTAATCGGAAGCTTCCTAGGCAATGGTCATTTAGTACTAGTGCAACTCTTTTGTGCTTTAATCGTGCTTAACTTTTCCTCCCTCACATTTATTTCTAAAAGTTAATTGCTGATAACTCATAATAATTGAAGGAACTCGATACGTTTAAATCTCCCTTTCGTAAAATTCGAGTTCTCCCCAAAATACAAAAAATCACAATGACGCAAATTTCAGGCACACAATGAGACCATTTATCATTCGTTACAAAATTACTAAAATTTTTTATATCTCACCAGACGTTTTTTTTTTTTGGGTAACCGAGGATCCGCCACCATTCCCCGGGGACGAGCTCGGACAGGTAATTGGGGCGCCTATACCTCGGGGGAGATTAGCCCAGCAACCCACCGCCAGGGCTCCTATCTCACCAGACGTTTAATGCTCCTATACTGTATAATTAAGCATAATGTGATCCAATAAAATTAAGTCAAGTCAAACATTTATTGCTCACCACATAATGAGGTCCCGATATCTCTTCGCTTAGGCCTCTTTTTTGAGCGATCTTTTATTTTTTATGATTCCACATAACTTTTCGACATGAATCTTATGGCAAACACGAAATTACTGGAAAGTAGAAGGAACCAACCTATTAGAACACGTCTTCTATTATATGTCCTGCTGAAAGGATTTTGAGAGGGCAAAGCCAACTATATATAAAAAAAAGAAGTCCCACCAATTAGAAGAGTAATGTGAGAAATTCTTCTCAAACTAGGGATGGTGGAAATCATGTCCCATATTATCTACGCGCTTGTGAAACATATTGTAAATCACGTTTAGTTGGCCCGTGAAGCCCCTCAAGTTCTTTTTGTTTTCTTGCCATAATTTTAGTTTTCAGAACATTTATGACAAATTTTTAGGGTAATTTAAAAATAGAACTTACAAATATCATTCTCAATTTTGCTCTTTCCTCCTCACATTTCAAAATCTACAATTACCATCCTCACTTTTTTATCCTGAATTTCGACATGCATCTCCTACCCACACTTAATTTATCAAGTTGCCATTTTCTATGTTACCCCATTCTCAACCTTGGATTTCACTTTTTGGATGTAGATTTCAGGTGTGTATGAGGGTGAATAGGTCTAGTTAGATTGGAAAGATGCAAAATGTAGTTTTTGAAATGTGACGATGATATTTGATACGGGGGCAAGTTGAGGATGATTTTTATAATTATCCCTAAAATTTATGTAGTTTTGGATAGGTAAGTTCATTAAAGAAGAAAGTTGTTTTGTATTGGGTGTGCTTGTTTTACTGAAAATTTCATGATGAAGAAAAATATTTTCCATAAAAATCATATTTTCAAGGAAAATTGTTAGTTTTTATTTGTTTGACAGTTTATGGAAATGGTCATTCTTTCTAGAAGGGGAAGTCTTTTTCTCCCAATTCAAACTTGTTATTTTTAGTCTATGGAAAATGTTTTCTGCAGATCAATTGGTTTTCCATTATCCAAATACTAGAAAGTCGGAAAACAATTTCTCGAAAATAGTTTTTCTTCAAATAAACGGACCCTAAAAGTCAAAGGATCGGAAAAACCATCCCAACTATGCACTAAATTTGTGAACCCTAGGAATAGTATTTGGTCCCATCCTAAGCCATACACTGAGATCTTTCGTCCAAGGGATACACGAAGATTTTAAGGCCATCATATTTGGTGAGATGAAGTGAATGATCAATCCAATATTGTCAATTCTATAACCTAGTTTAAGGAAAGGCCTTCTAATGCTTAAATTTGGCTACTTTCGTTAGGAAAGTTTCTTAGCCACATAGGATAGGCTATGAGCGTGGCACGACAAGTATAGGGAAAATAATAGAAAAGATGGTGCAAAGCCAATAATATATAGAATAAAGGGTCCTACCAAAATATATTTAGGTGATGTTAGGGTTATATATAGAAGGAAATTCCCTTTTACTATATATCTAATTGATGTTTTACAAGTTATACACATCACTTACCAATTTAACTAAATATCAAGAATTAGAAGGCTGATATGAGAAAATTTTCTTCAAACTTAGAATGGAGGAACACATGTCCCATATTGTCAATGGGCTCGTGAAACACATTGTTTCCCCTCTCGAAGAAAAAGAAATTAATATTTCTTTTCCTACCTCGAGGCACAAACCTTCACCTTTCCCATTCCAACCGTTGAGGCAATGGTCTCTTCACAAGAACGTATGATATAAAATATAGGGAAAATGAACAAATGATCCTTAAACTTTGACCCAATGTACAATAAGATCCTTGAATTTTCAATTTATTCAATGTGGTCTTCGGACTTTTGATACATGTTCAATTTAGTCCCAACATTGAACATTTTCATATAGTTCGAAAAATAAGTTGAACACATACTAAAAGTCTAGGGACCACATTGAATAAATTAAAAGTTCATGGACTACATTGCACATTAGGTCAAAGTTCAGGGACCATTTGTGTCATTATCCCTAAAATATAACATAAGACGTGTAAGTCGTGTTTTGTTGGGCATTGAGCCCCACAACTTCTTTTCATTTTCTTGTCAAAATTATATTTTGCAAAGCATCTACGGAAAACTTTAAGTGTTTTTTTAATATTAAATATAGGAAATTGCAAATACCATCCTCAATTTTGCTCTCTATATCAAATACTCTCATCACATTTGAAAATCTTTACCATCCTTACCTTTTAAATTGGATTTGAGTTAAATCTCTCACCTACACATAATTTATTAACTTACTATTTTTTGTTTATCAAACTACTCGTTCTCAACCTTCGATTCCACTCTTTTCGTATAGATTTCAAGTGCATGAGGGCAAAAAGGTCTTTTAGATTGAGAAGATGCAAAAGGTAGCTCTTGAAATGTGGTGAGAATGCCCATTGGGCATGCGACCTAGTGTTAAAGGAATTGAGTGGGAGTGTGGATGTTTAGTTTCGGGTGTGGGGTTCGACTTTCACGCTCCGCAAAGAGATAGCATAAATGTTTGAGAGAGAGAGAGAGTAGGATAGACCAAACAATTAAAAAAGAAGTGATGAGAAAGTTTAATATGGATAGCAAGTTGATGATACATTTTACAATTACTCTAAAAGCTCATATTGTTTGGGAAAGGGAAACTTCATTAAAGAAAAGAAGTTGGTTCACGTCCCGAAAGCAAAAGGACTAGCAAAGACCATAGCAACCATGCACTAAATTTGTGAACCCAAAGACCTTGGATTTATAATGGTCTTATCCTGACCCATGATGTACTGAGATCTTTTGTCTAAGGGTTGGTGAATGCAAATAATTGAGTAGGGGTGTGGATGTTTAGTTTCTGGTGTGGAGTTCGACTCCCACGCTCCGTAAAGAGGCAGAATAAAAGTTTGAGAGAGAGAGAGAGAGAGAGTAGGACAAACCAAAAAAAAGAAGTTGCGAGAATATTTAATGTAGAGAGCGAGTTGATGATACTTTTTACAATTATTACGAAAATTTATATTGATTGGGACAGGGAAACTTCATTGAAGAAAAGAAGTGGGTTCGCACTTTGAAAGCAAAAGGACTAGAAAAGACCATTGCAACCATGCACTAACCCACGGACCTTGGAAGTACAATGGTCTCATCTTGACCCATGATGTAACGATATCTTCTGTCCAAAGGTTGATGAATGCAGACAATTGGTGGGGTGTGGACGTTTGATTTCAGGTATAGGGTTTGACTCCTACACTCCTCAAAGATGCAGAATAAAAGTCAGAGAGAGAGAGAGAGAGAGAGAGAGAGAGAGAGAGAGAGAGAGAGAGAGAGTAGGATAGAAAAGAAGAAGAAGAAGTGATGAGAATATTTAATATGGAGAGCGAGGTGATGATACTTTTATTTTGAAAGTTTATATTGTTTGGGATAGGGAAACTTCATTGAAGAAAAGAAGTGGGTTTGCATTCTAAAAGCAAAAGGACTAGAAAAGACCACCGCAACCTTGCACTAAATTTGTGAACCCAAGGACCTTGGAGTACAGTGGTCTCATTCTGATCCATGATGTACTGAGGTATTTTGTCTAAGGGTTGGTGCATACAGACAATTGAGTGGGGGTGTAGTCGTTTAGTTTTGGTTGTGGGGTTCGAAACCCATGCACAAGAAAAAGGTGGAGTAAAAGGCTGAGAGAGAGAGAGAGAGAGAGAGAGAGAGAGAGAGAGAGAGAGAGAGAGAGAGAGAGAGAGAGAGAGAGAGAGAGAGAGAGAGAGAGAGAGAGAGAGAGAGAGAGAGAGCAAAAACTAAAAAAGAAGTGATGAGAATATTTAATATGGAGAGCAAGTTGATGATACCTTTTACAATTATTCTAAAGGTTCATATTGTTTGGGATAGGGAAACTTCATTAAAGAAAAGAAGTTTGTTCACATTCTGAAAGCAAAAGGACTAGAAAAGACCATCATAACCGTGCACTAAATTTGTAAACCCAAGGATTTTGAAAGTACAATGGTCTCATCCTAACCTATGATATATTGAGATCCTTTTTCCTAGGGTTGGTAATGGCAGACAAGTAAGTGGAAGTGGATGTTTAGTTTTAGTTGTGGGATTTGACTTCCATGCTCTGCGAGATAGAGTAAAAGTCAGAGAGAGAGAGAGAGAGAGTTAGAGTATAGCAAACCAGAAAAAAAAATGATGAGAATACTTAATATGAAAAGCGAGTTGACGATACTTTTTACAATTATTCCGAAAGTTTATATTGTTTGGGATAGAGAAACTTCATTGAAGAAAAGAAGTGGGTTTGCAATATGAAAGCAAAAGGACTAGAAAAGACTATCGCAATCATGCGCTAAATTTGTGAACCCAAGGACTTAGGAAGTATAGTGGTCTCATAGAGGATAAGTCACAATGAGAGAAAGAGAGAGTAAAATAGACAAAAGAAAGAAGAAGAAGTGTTGAGAATGCTTAATACGGAGAGCGAATTAATGATACTTTTTAC